ATGCTTGACAAGCGACCCCCATGAAGATTTTCAGTAGACTTTACAGGTTTTGGGTTTTTGTGGTTGGGATATAGGAGGTCACACTGTTTGTTGTCCATGGAATTTGTTTTGATAGCCCGCAAACTTAGAGATTTGACTTGTTAGGCCACAGCAGAGGCACCCAAGGAGGAATCTGCTGCGCCTGCCGCACATACCTCAGAGGCATCAGCTTAAAGCTAATCCAAAGAGGTCAGCCCATAGGAGACCTCTGGAAGAGACATGTGAAGATGAGAGTCGGCATACCGCAGAGACTTCCGAAGGAGTTAGCATTCAACATCATTGCAGTCTCGTCGTAAAGGCTTGTGAGGGAGGGTTGGTTGACGCATCAATGTTTTTTCCCCTTTCGATGCTTGTCGCATCCATTGACTGGCATTGAACATCGAGGGTCAGCATTTTGTTGTGAGTTAGACGCTTGTCGGATCAATTGATTGGAGTGGTTTGAATTGGTTTGGGGCCCACGAGGGCGTCTGATCCCTGCTTCCCCCAGGTCTCGCCAGCTGCGGTCACAGAGGCTGCGGAGGCGATGTGAAGCGTCGATGAGTGTGGTGTTCTGCCCAGTGGTTTGATCAGTCGAGTCGAGTTGAAACAGATGAGTTTGTTTAGAAAGAAAAGTCATATGATGTTGACATTCACCCACGGTATTTTTAGGGTCGTTCAACGTAGCAGTGCACCGTTGTTGGCTCTTTTCGCTGCCTTTTTCATGCTGCTTTCCCTTCAGCTGCATCGAACGAGCCGGTCGCGTGAACGCGAACGGCGCCGGAACCCTTCTTGTCTCCGCGTCTATTTTTTGAATCCATACCCGGTTTGGAGGGTTAAGGCTTGGAAGTCAGGAGGGTTTTCCAATTTCACACACAAGGGAAAACATTGACATGTGATACCCAAACACTCCATGGGACTGGCATAGGACTACCGATCAGGCCAGGGGTGGTTGAAGTCGGGGTCAATGTATGGAGCCCTATGCCAGTCCCATGGAGTGTCTAGGATATATGTGATTCTGTTCCTTTTTTCATCTGCTGACGGTGACGCAACGGCCCTGCCGGCCCGGCCTTGGACTCCAGGCGCCCAAGGAGGAAACCGGCGTCGCAGAGGCCTTTTGGTCGCAGGCCGCGGAGATGCGGATGCCGTTGATGTCAACATCAAGAGCCCGGAGATGCCCGGACACATGAACCCTGGAAGTCCAGTTCGACGATACTTTGACCAACTGAAGTAAAGGACATTCCGGGTGACTCGGGTCGCCTAGTCATAGTCAGACCATTCTTTGTATAGTCTTTGACTTGTGGGGTGAATGTATGGTTATTCTCTAGTTAGGCAAAAACCATTGGAGTATTATGGAGTATTCAAACAACCATTGGCCTGTTTCTTTTTGTTTTTTTTGTGCACGTTCTATGTTCGTTCTCTAGTTGAGGATTGTTTGGAGTCAATCACGTTGATGTGTGAAGAAGACACGGCAATTTCACTCAACTCCGGTGATAGTTCACTGCTTCTCGTGGTGCTTCAAGGAAGTCAACGGTTTTCCGCCTTGTCCTATTTTCCGACTTGCGGTCATTGGCAGGTGGCTGGATCTGCTCCGCCGGCGGAAGAGAAGGAGGTGCAGATTGACATATCTATAAAGCACTATCTAGTAAGTCCAAGTTCGACGATGTTTTGACCGACTGAAGTAAAGGACATTCCTGAACTCGGGTCACCCAGTCAGGCCATTCTTTGTATAGTCGTTGACTCGCAGGGAGATGATCAAGTTCTAATTTTTCCCCTCTGTTCTTGCGCGCTCGGAGTAGTTGCTGCAGCCACAGCACAAGAACTCGGAGTTCGTTGCATCGTCGCAGGCAGAAGCTGCTCCAGTGCCACCAAGCACAGAAGAGGTCGCCGACCGGACTGGTCCACGGTCTCTTCGGGTGGAGTCCGAGGGGTCTCGCGCAGTGACTGGGTGGGAGTCCGAGGGCCTCGTGTCGGGGTGTTTGGTGCGGATCAGCGCAGTGTTTGGTGTGCGGATCAGTACGGTGTTTTGTTTGGTATGACCAGCCATCCATTTTGACGGGACAGTCATGTGGTCACATGTGGTCGGAGAATCACAGGCAGGAAACGCTCAAGAGGAGGCAGGAATGAGAAAGACGCACATGTACGAAGGAGTCGATTAATTAGCAATCGATGTGTAGTCGTACTAGGACACTTGAAGTCATCACAACTACAAACAAAGGTTTGTAAGCCTTCAGCCGAAGCCGAAAGAAACGTGGGCTTTCTCAAGCACTTGAAACTGCTTCCTACAGAAGTCGTCCAGACCCTGTAACCTGAAGAATGCAGACACGCGGTTTGTCTGAAGGCTGCAGCATATCAACAAAGAGCATCAAAGAACTCCATAGAACATCATACCTGGACCTTCAAAGGGGGTGTCCAATGGAGATCCCTAGGTAGTGTAGGGGCTTCCATTGGTGACCCCTTTGAAGGTGCTGGTAGAACTCCTTGTTAGTTTATTCAATAAACTCGTGGAATTGCTTGGACGTTTCACCAGATCTGCTGCCATTGTGGCTGCGAGGATGATTCGACTTGCGAACTCGCTCGCTCGCTCGCTGGCGTGTTCGAATTCGCAGCATGCACCAGCGAACGAGATCCAGATGTTCAAACACACCCCTCAACGCCCCTCAGACGAGATCTTTAAACAGTCGGTCGACCGACTAGACCAGCGGAATGGAAAACATCGCATGGGGTAGACCTCTTGCATCCGACTTTCCGCCCGCCCGCCCCCCGGCTCGTGACCGAGACGAGAGCAGCGCAATGACTGAGAGCGCCGCCGACTTCAAAGCCCGAGAGAAGATCGTCTTGGCCTACCTCCTCACCATTCCCGAGGTCGCCGCCGCCGTCGCCCTGCAGCGGGAAGGCAAGTCTCAAGAGGCCAAGAGCAAGTTGCGAGCGGCGGTGAGGAGCTTGCCTCCAGAGATTCAGGAACGCGCCGGCAGTCTCCAGACGAACGCGGAAGCCTCGCGCCCGACGTCGAAGTGACGAACGGAGCCCGGAGAAGAAGGGAGGGCATCTCTGGGGCATCGCTGGTTTGCCTGCCCAGAAGCACCTGACGTTTGGAGAGTCAGCTAGGCAGCTAGGCAGCCGGCCTCAACAGCTGAGCCAGCTCGGCCAGACGAACGCGGACGGAAGCACCGGTGAACCCGAACCGGGTCGCTCCACGGGCCAAGTGAAAAGGAAGGCGATCGGCCCGTGCGGTCGGTCGGAGATGCTCCGCGGGTGTGCTGCTCGGGTCGCAAAGCACGAAGCGGGTCGGCGGGTCGCTGGGTCGCTGGGTTGGCCACAAAGGTGCGAGGTGTCTTTCTTCCAGTGTTTCGTTTGGGGTCGTCCAATGGCACGGAAGAACGAACGGATGAGGGGGTGTTAGAAGGGGGAGGGGGTGTTAGAATGTCTTCAGCTGCTCCAGATGGTCAGATCGGGCAGAGTGGGAGCAGTTTCTTTCCTCTTTTTCCTATCATCCCTCATATCTAAGTGATATCATTTTCGGTTGTCCCGCTCTGAACAGAGGGGCCACCACCTGCAGGTGGGTGGATCTTCAGAGGAGAAGGTGCGCAGCTGAACCCCTCTCGCTCTGAAAACTCTTGTCTTTGTTGTTCTGATGGATTCCGATGGATAACTTGTCCTTTAAACAGAGGCTTCTGATGGATTCATATAGTTGTTCAGTCAGGTTACTGTACAGTGCGCGTGTGCGAGAAAATCACTCTGAACATAGGCAGAAGCAGCACCTTTGCCACCCGCCACGGAGGAGGCGACGCTTGCATTGAGTATTTAGAGGTGTTCAGGTTGGCAAAGAGATCATCTAACAAATCGAATGCTTGTCGGGACAGGTTGTTTTCCACAGAGGTTGTATTTCCACGGCACTTTTCGTGGATATGCACGGAAGAATGCATATGTGCACGAACGTTTGGTTCTGCAGCGAGTTTCAGGTGGCTGGCTCATCCCCTCCTGTTGAAGAGAAGAGCGAGGTGCAAAGTGGTTCATCTTCAACTGGCAAAGAGTTTTTCGTTTTGCCCATTTTGTCTTTGCAGCCGATGCCTTTCTTGTAGTGTGGTCGTTCTAAGTTGTTCTTGCCATCAGTGCCATCAGCTTCTTGTTCATGCTTGCTGTAAAGAGCACAGTGATTATGTCACAGGTTTCTCCTGCACCCCAAGCTGTCGAGGAGGCTGGAACACAAGGACTCGAGCGGTTTTGGTCGGCATGTTCCACACAGAATGACTGCAGCACGAGCTCCTTTGCAGTGCTTTGCTGAAACAGAGCCCGCAAGTCAAAGCTATGTACTATGTACATCCGTACGTTGTTTTGCCAAAAAAACTTTGCTTCTCCTTGCAAGTTGCAGGTAGCTGGATCTGCCCCTCCCGCAGAGGAGAAGAAAGAGGTGCGGAAGAATGTTGCGCATTCTTCTCTGCAGGGAGAGGTCATTTTTGGTGTTTGATGGTGTTTGATATTCTAGGCAGTGGAGATTTGTGTTGTAGTTGTTGAAGAAAACTGGGGGAAGTCTAGTTGAAGTGGGCCTAATGGGGCAATTCAGGCTGAAACGGCAGCACCTGTGGCAAGCGGAGAGGCGACCTTTGCATTTACTTGGACAGAGTCAGATTGAGAGCAACATAGAGCAATGATTGTAACGGCACCAGGTTTTCTTGCGAGTTGGGTTAGAAGAGATCTCTAAGAAGAGGTCATATGAATCATATGTGCAGGAACGTTTGGTTTTGCAGCAAGTTTCAGGTGGCTGGCTCATCCCCTCCTGTTGAAGAGAAGAGCGAGGTGCAAAGTGGTTCAGCAAGTGGCGAAGAGCTCTATTTCTATTAAATTTTGCCCTTGCATCCAACATCATTTTTTAGTGTGGCTTTGTTTGCCACCGAGCCATCGAGGAGGCTGTAACACAAGGAGTTCCTTGAACATGCGCGAGCGTTTTGGTTGACATGTTCCAATGCAAAATGATTGCAACACAAACTTCACTCCATTTCCAACTTGGCTGAAGCAGAGCCCGCAAGTCAAGGGGCATGGTGGAGGAAAGCTGCATGTTTTGGCCGAGAGAGAGAGAGAGAGAGAATTTTTCTGCTCGCAAGTTGCAGGTAGCTGGATCTGCCCCTCCCGCAGAGGAGAAGCAAGAGGTGCGAAGAATGTTGCGCATTCTTCTATGCAGGGAGAGGTCATTTTTGGTGTTTGATATTCTAGGTAGTGGAGGTGTTGTAGTTGTTGAAGAAATCTGGGGGAAGTCTAGTTGAAGTGGGCCTAATGGGGCAATTCAGGCTGAAGCGGCAGCACCTGTGGCAAGCGGAGAGGCGACCTTTGCATTTACTTGGACAGAGTCAGATTGAGAGCAACATAGAGAGCAATGATTGTAACGGCACCAGGTTTTCTTGCGAGATGGGTCAGAAGAGATCTCTAAGAAGAGATCATATGAATCATACGTGCAAGAACGTTTGGTTTTGCAGCAAGTTTCAGGTGGCTGGCTCATCCCCTCCTGTTGAAGAGAAGAGCGAGGTGCAAAGTGGTTCATCAAGTGGCGAAGAGCTCTATTTCCATTAAATTTTGTTCTGCATCCAACACCATTTTTTAGTGTGGCTTTGTTTGCCACCGAGCCATCGAGGAGGCTGTAACACAAGGAGTTCCTTGAACATGCGTGAGCGTTTTGGTTGACATATTCCAATGCAAAATGATTGCAACACAAACTTCACTCCATTTCCAACTTGGCTGAAGCAGAGCCCGCAAGTCAAGGGGCATGGTGGAGGAAAGCTGCGTGTTTTGGCCGAGAGAGAGAGAGAGAGAATTTTTCTGCTCGCAAGTTGCAGGTAGCTGGATCTGCCCCTCCCGCAGAGGAGAAGCAAGAGGTGCGAAGAATGTTGCGCATTCTTCTATGCAGGGAGAGGTCATTTTTGGGTGTTTGATATTCTAGGTAGTGGAGATTTGTGTTGTAGTTGTTGAAGAAAACCGGGGGAAGTCTAGTTGAAGTGGGCCTAATGGGGCAATTCAGGCTGAAGCGGCAGCACCCGTGGCAAGCGGAGAGGCAACCTTTGCATTTACTTGGACAGAGTCAGATTGAGAGCAACATAGAGCAATGATTGTAACGGCGCCAGGTTTTCTTGCGAGATGGGTTAGAAGAGATCTCTAAGAAGAGATCATATGAATCATACGTGCAAGAACGTTTGGTTTTGCAGCAAGTTTCAGGTGGCTGGCTCATCCCCTCCTGTTGAAGAGAAGAGCGAGGTGCAAAGTGGTTCATCAAGTGGCGAAGAGCTCTATTTCTATTAAATTTTGCCCTTGCAGCCAACATCATTTTTTAGTGTGGCTTTGTTTGCCAACGAGCCATCGAGGAGGCTGTAACACAAGGAGTTCCTTGAACATGCGTGAGCGTTTTGGTTGACATATTCCAATGCAAAATGATTGCAACACAAACTTCACTCCATTTCCAACTTGGCTGAAGCAGAGCCCGCAAGTCAAGGGGCATGGTGGAGGAAAGCTGCGTGTTTTGGCCGAGAGAGAGAGAGAATTTTTCTGCTCGCAAGTTGCAGGTAGCTGGATCTGCCCCTCCCGCAGAGGAGAAGCAAGAGGTGCGAAGAATGTTGCGCATTCTTCTATGCAGGGAGAGGTCATTTTTGGTGTTTGACATTCTAGGTAGTGGAGATTTGTGTTGTAGTTGTTGAAGAAAACTGGGGGAAGTCTACTTAAGTTGAAGTAATGGGGCAATTCAGGCTGAAGCGGCAGCACCCGTGGCAAGCGGAGAGGCGACCTTTGCATTTACTTGGACAGAGCAACGATTGTAACAGCGCCAGCTTTTCCTGCGAGATGGGTTAAAAGAGATCTCCAAGAAGAGATCATATGAATCATATGTGCAAGAACGTTTGGTTTTGTAGCAATTTTCAGGTGGCTGGCTCATCCCCTCCTGTTGAAGAGAAGAGCGAGGTGCAAAGCGGTTCATCAAGTGGCGAAGATGTTTTCGTCGTGCCCCTTTCGCCCTCGCAGCCGACAATTCGTCTTTGTTACTGTACAGTGTTTGTTCTTGTTATTTTGTCACGTTCACATGTCTAGTTGGGTGTACCAAAGATGCATATCCCGGTGAGAATGCAGACACGAGCTTCTGCACCCACGCCGCAGAGACAGCATTTATCAGACATCCAAACCAGCATCCAAGGCTGGCCCTTGGCCGCCCGAAGGCTTCTCCGGATGTTGCTTTTCTTCTGACCGAAAGACATGGGGACAGGTGGATGCTTTGCAGACCCCACGAACCCCGCGAAGCACCTGAAAACGGATCCGAGACAGAGAGACGTGCATCCTTGAGCGAGCGAGCGAGCGTCCTCGGTCCGCGCCCGGGGTGTTCATCAGATCTAGCCGAACAAATGGAGCGCCTCCCGCGGAACCACCGAAAGGAGGTGCCGAAACGGAGGGATTTGACCTCCAATGGCTGCTATTGGATGCTACTTGTTGGCACACTGTTGGGCCTGTGAAGACGGGTCGTCTGAACGACCGCTCGTCCGAGTACGGGTCGTTTCCCACCCGCAGGCTCCTATTCCGCCACCTGCTGAAGGGTAGCGGCTGGCATTCGCGCCATGTCAGGAGGGGCAAGGGAAACGGGTAAAAGCGTTTGAATCACTGGAGCATTCGGTCCAACCAAGACGTTTCGGTTCAACCATTGGAGGATCAGCAACTTCAACATCCCTCCAAGGGGGCTGTCCCTTTCATCGGACTCTTTTGCTCGAAAACCCCATGCTCTCAACGCGCTCAATAACGCACCCCGAACGCACCGAACGGGTACGGATCCCCAAGTATGCCAAGCACCCGGGACTCGCCGATCGGCCGCTCGGCGGAACCGTTCTCGCGCCTCCAGCGGGACGGGCTCACAGGCCGTCGATCGCCAGCGAGCCGACGCCCGAACGACAACAGGTTCCGATCTGAAAGAGGTCCGAGGGGATTTGCGCCCCATCAAAGCAACTGCGTTGGGGACTGATGTTGTTCAGCACTTGGGCACTGGAGATCCGGTACACAACAGTTTCTGGTTGAGACTGGGGAGTTCCATCTATTTCCTTCTGATTGGGACTGGGTTTGACTGGGTTTCCAAGAAGGGCAACGCACTAGTGGTTTGGATGGTTTTGGTCCTCACGGCCAAGGTACCAGCGGTGCAGTTGCGGTTCCAGACCGCCAGATCACAGACTTTAAGAAGCCGAAAGACCTTATGTCGCCCCGGTGAGGTCCAGGAAGCTACCCTTCGTCAGACTTCCTTTTGTAGTCTCCGACCCTGATCATAGTTAAAATACCCTGGGAGTCAGGGGCTTTAAAAGAGTTACTGTAAAAAGAATGGTCTTTAGGTGACCCGAAAAAGGAATTTCCTTTACTTCAGTTGGTCAAAATATAGTCTTTGGACTTCCAGGGACTTAGGACCCACAAAGATGACCGTTTCTCTTCGACATGGTAGGAAGTCCAGGACAATTTGTTTTTGAGTTCCCGAAGAGGAGATCCCTTGACCTATAAGGGTGGTACCACCTATAGTGGTTCCCAAAGAGGTAGAAATTCTTTCCAAGACCTTTTGAATTGGATTTTACTTTTCTATCTATTAATAGGCTGGTCTAACCCTAAAGGTCAAGGACCTCCTCAAAAAACTGGGTTCGTCCTCGCAAAACCAGCACCAGTACTCGGTCCGACTACTCGGTGACCTGGTCCTCGACGTGAAAAACGCCACGACGGGCCTTACTAGTCGTAACAATGTTTGCTATTAGAAACAAGTGCCACGCTAGTAGGAACAAGTGCCTTACTAGTAGTAACAAGACGCCACGACGTGCCCGACCTGAGTCTCGCGTTCGTTTGGACCGGTGCCGTCTCGAGGAGTTGCACACCGCCAGGCGTCGGAGGGCCTGAGGGGGTTCCCGCAGGGGGGACGGGACGGCGCGAGATGGAAAAGGTGATAAACTTATTTATGACACCATGAATTTGTTAGGTTTCCTTTTTCCAGATGTCTTTCATTTTCTTTTTTGTTTGTGAAGCCAATTGTTTCCTGTTTGGGGAGTCAAAAAGGGTCTGCGCCCGAGGAACATGTATTCCGACCCATTCGACCGGGCGAATCCACCGGGGAACGCGTTCGCTCGGCTTCCGTGCAGAAGCCACGATCAGTACACAGGCACCCAGAAGAACAAGCACCCTCCTCGACCAGACCCACTAGTTGATGGATGGATGGACGTGCCGCACCAAAAGCCCCTCTTCTTCGGGGGCGGACCCCCCGCGGGTGCCACGGGTGTCCTGCGAAAGCCACGGTCGACCGGAACAACCAATCCTTCTGGGGAAGCACCCGGGTGAGGCTAGACCCAGGCAGCTGGTGCTTCGGTCTTCTTGGTTTAGATCCGGGTTTATGGTTGGGGAGACGGCGATATTTGTGGGTTCAGGAAGAAAACGTTTCCATCAGTTGTAGAGCATTTTGACATAAATCTTCCATGTTTGCAACGTGTTTGCCTCCTTTTCATGTATAACAGCCAGCCAACACTTGAAGACTCAAACATGTTACATCTCAGTCATATAGTTGGAAGATCTAGGTAGGAGGAGCGTCGGAGAAATATCACTTGTTCGGTTTGATTTTCAGCTTTTGGGATCACTCCGTGTCGCACCTGTGCATCACTCGCGTCAGGTGCCATGATCAGCATCATGTGACGGATGGTTCTTGTCATAGTCAAAGATGGCAGCAATCTACCGGCCGAGGGTATTTCCAGAGTGGCTAGGATTGAATCATTTTCGTTCAATTCTGCACACATTGATAGATCTGGACAGCTCTGCTGGACGTACCAGAGGTGTTATCCCAGACGTACCATGACCTTTTTGCGAAAAAGAACGAAGCCACTCACCTTTTCTGGTGCTGTAAAATGCGCATCAGCCGATCGGCTTGGAGGGGAATTTTCCGGCGTATTGCTGGACGTTTGCACCGCCCAATCGCTGCAGAGATGCACCGACACTTTGAGAGTGCCGCAGAGACGGAAGAAACACCCGCAGAGTTTTTCCAAAGAGCGAACGCGGAGGAGTCGACCCCCAGGTCCTTGGCGTGGACTCGGATCATCTCTGCAGTTCGTCGCTTCCAGCCTGTCATATCGCCTGGGTGTTGGACAACGCCTGCTGCCCAGCCGAGCACTGGGTGCTTTTTTTCCTGGTGCTCCAAAGAGTCTCTCCGGGCTCGAAAATCGAGAAATGTGAGAGGCATTAGAGCTACCTCTGTTTGAGGAGAGCTGTTTGTCAGATGGAGGGGGTCAGAAGCTACAGAAAACTAGCACGCTCAGCACGCTCTTTCACCTGTCTTGGCCTGTTCATCACTTGATTCACGTTGATTCCCTCTATTTTCAGGTAGATCTTCAGTGGAAAGATATGGCAGGGCTTTGCCTCCCAAGCAGAAGGCCCCAGAAGCACCATCCCCAGCCCACCTGCGCTGGGCAGTCATCCACCACCCCCCTGACCAAAGCTTGCGGATGTCGGGTTGAACCATTTCTCAAACCGCCAGAAATGGCGACACCAACCATGATTGTATAGAATCGAAAGAAGAAAGAGGGAGAAGCAGCTTAGCTACACCCCCTACGCAAGTACAAGGGATACACGGCGTGCTTGGATTTGTTCCCGTGAATCACAGAGCTTTGCAATTCTTTCCACTCAACGATGGTGTTTCATCGTAGATGCGCAAACGATCTGAAATTGGGAATTATTTCCCAAATCATCGTAATGCATCCATTCACATAGTACCGAATAGAAACAAATTAATATTAATATTGGTTCATTGAAATATTGCTTGAAATATCTTTTGCAAAATCGATAAGGTTTTTTGTTAAAAAATTCGATATTCATTGTTCGAAATAATTTGCCAAATTTAGTTATATTATATTGAAACAAAAACATATATATTAAATTTTCGTTTAGAAACAGATTTTTAATAAATTATGGTAATATAATAAAATAATAAAAAAACTATATTAAAATAATACTAGATTTCTTTAAAATAGGATATATAAATAGGAAAAATAAATACAAATAAAAAATAGGAAAAAAAAATTAAGAAAAATAAAAATAAATAAAATAAAAAGAAAATTAAGAAATAAATAAAAGAAGAAACATATATAGGTTCGCATTTATATCGCATTAAATGATAAATTAATTTTTTTACATTTTATATATCGGTTTAAAGATTATTGAAAATAATTGGAAATAATTATAGAAATTTAATAGGAATAATATTAATATTAATAATTTTAATAATTTAATGGGGATTTGAACAGATTAGTATTTTTTTTTTTTTTTATTGATATGCTTTTATTTTTAATATCTTTGTATAATGAATATATTATTTTGGGAAAAGACATTTTGGAAATTAACCATATATATAATATTTCTTGTATATATTTTATATATAAAATATATTAATAAATAAAAAATATCATAGATTTTTTATTTATATACAATAAATATTTTTCTAATTAATATATATATCTTTTATTTATTTTATAATTAATTAAAGAAATATATATGTTTATTTTAAAATTAGACGAATAATTAATTTGAATTTTTTCGAAATGAAGAAATAATGTATTTATTTTATTATTGAATTTATTCGAAATAATTGAAATGATTATATTATATAATTATTGATTTTTAAAAATATTTATGAATTCTTGGAATATATTTCGTATTTTCTTAGATTTTAGGATTATTAATATAATTGGAAATAATTTTATTTTATTTATAAATATATTTATTGATTAATTTGATTTTATATTTAATATTTGATATATTTATTATTATTATATTCTTGCTATTTTTCTTTATATATTTATTTTTTTTAAATTATGATATAATTGGAATATAATAAATAATAAAAATATATATTATTAATTTTGATAAAATAGATTAATATATATAAATTATTTATTTTATATTAATACATATATTACTATTTTTTAATATATAGAAAAATATAAATATATATTTTGATTAAATCATTTCTATATATTAATGAAGATATTATTATTTTGAAGATTATAAATAGATATATATATTAATAATGATTCATGAAGAATTAAAATCAATAATAATTTTATTAATATATATATAATGAAATATTTCATATTTTTTTGATTCAAAAATCAAATTAATAGCGAATAATTTTGAATTGTTATACAATATGCCACGGATAGATGAATTTTGTCGAAAGATCTTTCTTTTGTGGTTTATTTCCATAATGAATTGTAGAATATTTTAGAATCGTCCGTTGCCAGCGATTAAATGCGATTCTATATCGACCATTACATTAAATTGGCCAATTAAATTGTATAATATATCTTAATATAATTTGCAATATATTAAAATATTTTCATTTATTTAAGCCCGCCCAAATAGAGGCCTTCAGCTCTTCTCGAAGCAATCAAATACTAATTCATCCGCGATTCATTACGGGCAAATTAATGTCCGCTAAGTGCAAAATAAGATTTTAAAATTAATAAATATATATATAAAATATATAATATACTAATAAAAAAATATTATAATCAAACTTATATTAATATATTTATTATAAATTTAAATTCAATATCTATATAAAAGAATATTATATAATAATAATTTCATTTATTAATTAATAATCTATATTATTTCTATTAAAATTTTCTAAACTAAATATATTTTCATAATTTATATACATATAAATCAATATATAAATTTTCAAAAATATATAATATTAATATATCTATATCAGAAGAAATATATAGACCAAATTATTATATAAATAATCTGTATCTATTTGTATTATATATGATCTTTAATATAAATAATCCAATATATGGTAATTTCGTCGTCAATCCAAATATATATAAATATCAATGCAATTTATCATTAATTTCATATATATATATATATTCAATATTAAAAATAGAAAATCAATATATCAAGAATATATTTATTTTCAATTCTATAAATAATATTAGAAATATATTTAATCCTTTAAACATATATATTTACGTTTGAATAGTATTTCAATGATATTCGCGCATGTTGAATCATTGTCAAGGTTCTCCATGATCAGGTGTATGTGTTCGATGGGGGCAAATTGCTTGTAATTCTGTTGTTGTCATATTTGGATGTGTACCGAGGAAGCACTTCCAAGTGCTCAAAACCAAACCTTTCGGAATGAACGCTAAGGTGGTGCATTCATCCTGTAAATAACAATGAATTCTGACGAGGACCCAAATGCCGGGTTAGGTGAGTCACGAAGTTTCTCTTTTGCACAGCGACCACAACGCCTGTTTGAAACATTGCGACGGTGGACTTAGGCCGGTGGCGTTTAAGTGAAAGAGGGCCAATGCGTCCAGAACGCTTTCTAGACCAGGCCTTGTGTTGGGTATGAACTGCCAACAGGTTGCGATGTTCAATCGGATCAGAAGCAGGACTCAACAAATTGGCCCGGAATATAAGTGGCCTTTGGAGACTGCAATGGATTCTAAGGTAAGAGGGTTTCACCATAACAAAGAGTCCAACTCCGAAAGCCACGGTTCAACGGGCCGAAGTAGTGGACGGCCACAAGCGACGTCACCAGCCACGGTGCCCAGCCCCAAGACATAACCTTCCCGGAGACCTCCCGTCCCTGGAGTCAAAAGAAGAAGGCATTTTGTATCTTATCTAAGTTGATATAAGACCTTTCTGTCAGAAAGTTGATTCCTTAGCCAATAAAGAAACCGCATAGAATGAATTGGCCTCTATCTCTATATGTATATAGATATATAACAATCGTTATGTTTTGCTCTCGCGATCACGTCAAACGTGGGTTAGTGCACTGCTGCACGGTGCATTGCGACCTAGCTACAAACGCTGCATTTCAGCAGGTCTTTTTGCCAGGCGGCCTCAAATCTGCATGCAAACGGTTTTGTAAAGCATCCTGCTTTGGTGCCACGTCCATCCACGTCTAGTCGAAAGCCCATTGGCCCTGGAACCGCCAGATTCGCTGCAGAAAACGGGGCGCCAAAAATGAATTCGCAAAAGCTGAGACTTGCCGAGACCGCCAGTTGTGAGTATGGTGCGCTTTTGCAACCTTCTGAGCAATTGACAGCCTATGATATCAAAGCTGGAAAGTGTATGCAAACAATTACCTCTGCGTGCCATAGTCATAGGTCTACACATGTCTACACGGTTCTTCTTCTGCTTGGGGTCAAGTATTCACCATTCTGCACCAGCGGGGTCAGCACTGCGCCAGAGAAAAGAAGAGACATCTGGGTGAGTTCACGATGGGTCTTTCCCAGACCGCCTTGAAACAACATTGGCCGATTGGTTTTAGCATGTTTGGGCAAAACGCAAGGCAACTGCCTGCTACTTAGTTATATACAGCTGGTTTTCAAGATGAGGACACCTTGGGAAGAGTTTCTTTTAAACTTGTGGGCCGGCAAATTTAGAGGGAGGCGCCTCCAAATAGAACCAACATATAGAAGATAGATTTATATCTTCAACTCACTGGTGAATGAGAAAAAACATGACATCTGTGGTTTATTCATGTTAATCCCTGTCTGGGTGCCCAAGGTTTCTAGATGCTCAGGTGCTCTGCCCAAGGACTAGGCTTTCAATAAAGTGGATCAACGCCGGTTGCAGTCCAAGAAACTTGGCAGGGTCATCCAAAAGGTGTCTACAAGAAAAACAATGACTTCTTCTGGCATTCAATGTCACAACAAACGCAGCACTCCTTCTATCCACTGGTACTTCCACTGGTGTGTCTATCTATCTATCTATCTACTCAACTTGAAGCTTTTGTAGTTCTTTTGTTCGGGGGAGGAGGGGTCTTCAGTTTCCAGTCAACTCACCCAGTTTCCTTTCTTGGGGGTCACCGCAGCGCTCAGGGCTTGATGCTGGTCCGCGGCCTCGGAAGACGTGACGGATGGGACCTTTTGATCACACCGACGGTGCGACTGGTGGCGACGCGCGTGGCTCCTCCGCACGACGGCAGGTTCAAGCTTCTGGTCGACCCGGGCCCCCTTACTATAAGCAAAATGCTTTTGATTTGGTGGCTTTTGGCTTCTGGGGAGGTGGATTCCCGAGGCTGTGTCACTTTCGGCCGTGTCTCAGCATGAAACCCTCTTGATGAGAGACCCCTGTCACCAGTCCGCACGTCCAGCGTGAGGAAGATAGGGCAGCTCATGAACCAATCTGTTTTGCATAGGCCTGCCTAGTAGGCTCAAACCCAGGCAAACGGGAGAAGAACGAAGAACATGGTCTCAGGAGAATAGGATCACACAAAACTGCTGGGAGAGTGAGTTCACCAAAGCATCATGAGTTGAGCTGAGCCAAAACGATGTGCAAAGAGATGAGCTAAGACAGCTAAGACAGCTAAACTGCCCAAAAGGACCTTCGCCGGTCGCTCCTGCAATCTCCCGACACGTTTTTACGCTTGGTGCGACCTGCACCAACTCTCCCAAAAACAAGCGGAAAGAAGGATGAGACCCCCGAACACTCTCTTCCCTTTGCCAACTGTGTATCTCAAACTCTTATCTATATGTCCTCCATCATCCGCCATCCTTCCCGATACTCAGCCGGGGCCGCCTGTCACACAGAGATGCTACTTGGCTGATTCCTCAGCCGCTGAAGTTCGGGTGGTCTCGTTTGAGCAGCCGCCGATTCTGCGAATCAAGTAGTGCACTGCACGGACCGCGTGGTTGTTGCCCCCCCCCCAGTGAAGGAGTCTACAATTCAACATGTGCGCGAACTTTGCCTCGCACCAAATTAGATTCTAAATGGACTGATGACCATACCTAAGAGATCCCAAGAGAATCCATCGGTACAGCGATTGTTTGGGATGATCAGGATTGGTTCATGTCGTTTGCAACTTGTGGGAGTTGGCCTCCTTTCATCACCCCCTTTCATCAATCGCCCTGTTAAATTATCACACAGTTTTTGTTTGCTGTTTTCCTTCTTTGGTGCCCCATGGCCTGCTGTGACCCGCGTGGCGGGTCAAACCTGCAACGTTTCTTGGTGACTCGGGGGGGGCACCAATTAACCGAAATCCAAGCACCACAGCTTCTCGCGAGGTGTTTCTTTTCTCTAGGGAAGGCGTGATCTATACAGCTGCTTCGGAGTTCTTATTCCTTTCCGTGCTTCTCCTCCCTACGCTGATCCCACATATGATCATATGGTCCTCTCTTGAGGCTGGATTTCTTTCTTGATTGACGGGGGCTGCCCCAGCCAGAAACTCCAACAAGCACCTGCTTAGACTGCATAGCCGCGAAACAAGAAGACATGCCCCCCTTCCATTTTAACAGCAGCAGCTCAGCCGAGGTTTCCATACCCCGCCAAGGTGCCAAGGCATTCAACAAACTCTTGGGCGCATATTGGGCTCTTTGCCTCAGAATCGGTGCCGTCGCCGGCTCATGCGGTCTCGATCTCGGGTCTTCCGCGGTGCCAGAGCGGTGGGTCGGCGGAAGCTGTTGATCCGGAGACCTTTCGGATCACCTGGAAGAACCGTGGTCGTTTACACTCCCGAAAACTCACATAGACCCTGACGTCCTGGCCCCCTGGAAGAGTGTTTTCCTCTACCAACCAGTGGTTTTCAGGGTCCATGGCATCGTCTTCCAGAGTGTAATTCGGGTGCTCGCACACCGCCACGACCGGGGCGGAAAACGGCACAACACGAGTTCGAAGCGGTCGGTGCCCAAGACACTCTGCTCGGTGGTGAACGTCCTCCGACTTCTCATCGTCATATCCTCAGCACCAAAAAAGGGTGGGAGGCCATGAGAGACGGTCAAAGAACATAGTACATCATAGGGCCATATGGGGACAACTCTTGATGCGTTACACCTGATGTTGGCAGATTGTTGGCCTGAAGTAGACTTGCCTGGAGATGCCTGGAGGTCTCCCTATTTTCAATATTACACCCACATGTGCCTCACCAGCTGCTGGTGCTAGCTTGCTCGGCGCGGGCCCCAAACCGCGGAGAAACAAAGACAGTGGTTTCAGAGAAGGGTACCTGCACAAATGGCAAAACCCAGAAACGATGGCTCTATAGACTATGAGTCAAAACAGCAAGATTCTACGATGTCATCTGATCCAACCTGTCTTTTCCACCATTTCCACACACCCACTGTCCCATCTTCCACCTTTGCCATCCTCCACAGCTTCTATGACTACTGACCGATGCCTGGTCGCTGACGAGCCGTCACCGAATCCAGCGCTTGGGACGAGGGGCCCAGCATCCAGGCCAAAAAGCTGTCGCCGTTCTTCGAGCGGCCTCACCACGGAATACCACGGCGCGGGTGCTCCCGCGGTGGGCGCGCGCTTTTTGTGCTCCCGCGGTGGGGGAGGTCTGATTGAAAGAACGTCTTTTTCGAGCAGAAGAGCCGATTGCAGACCCATTGTTCTGGTCGGGTGTGGTATTTTGTTGAACACCCCTCTTTGCTTAGCGCTTCATCTCGCTGTGGTCTTCTTGGCGGGGGGATTCCTACTATTGGAGAGCCGTCAACGCGTGCACCGCGGTGGACCCACGTCCGGGATTCCATCAAACCCGGCCGACTTGAATCGCCCCATCAAAAGGGTTCTATAGATCAATATAGATCAATCATGATCAATCTGGTGGACTGCTCGTATGTTTTGAGGTGTTTTGTTGCTCTTAAGTTTTGTTTCTTGCAGTATTTCTTAGTAGCCTATTGCTTCTTCCTGAACGTGCTTTTGGCTGAATTTGCATGGAAAACCTTGTAGAGCTGCTGTGCAAATTGGGGCTTGCCCATCTGGACCCCAGAAACCAGAAACCGTCGTAGCCCGGTTCCCGTTCCCCGCCGTGCAGCCCACGAGGATGCGCTGGCCAAGGTGCACGTGCATTTCTGAAAGATGCTCTGCTCCTCGTAGGGGTCATACTTTCCCTTCATCTGCGGCGTATCGGCACCGGGTTCCGGACACTCGCTGTTGGTGAAGGAGAGGTCGGTGGTGTGTCAAAACGAGCGTGGTTGGAGGGCGAGTTTCTTCAAAAGCCTACCTTTTGGGGGGTTCTTTGGCGCAGCAATATGGGTCTGCTGGATGCAAAGAGACCTATACCCCAGCGATGGGGCATATGGACCCCCCCAAATAGATAGAAAAGTAGATCTCCACTGCACTAGAAATGTATTGCAAACCGACCACTACAATAATATGGCTACCAGTCAGCTGGAGCCGGTGGGAAGTTGCTCCAAAGTTCGGATGGAATGCGCTCGGCCAGAGCGCCTGATGAGATCCTGGTCCAAATGCGAGTGGTCAAAATCAGGGCGTGCCCCCCCGAAGCGCATGGGATTATGGGAGGGAGCATCGGTTCTCAGATATCCCATGGCACGAATTCAAAACTACTTCAAAGAATGCTGAACATTCATCGGTTGATGAGAGCACACCTGCGCTTCTCTTGCTTGGCCCACCTGTTGCTTGTGTCGTTGCTCTTCGAGCGCGAAGCAGTACCTCCCACAACAGCAACTTGGAGAAACCGAGGTGCTGGTCATGTGTGAGTGCTTCCCCCAACCAGCTCGTGCTTCGGCCGAAAGCGCTGCGACCTCCCATACAAAGATAATACTTTTTTGAGTAAAGCGAGAGAGGTTACAAAAGGTCATCCGCTGTGGCCTTTCAAGCTACGAACCGTCAACCCTCCTCCAACCTCAGGATTTCTCACGCTCCGAGGCCGACCATCGATATTCGCAAGCCGTGGACATCCGGTTGACGGGAAATGGCTCAAAACACCGACCGATTCTGTGGTCCGATTCTGCCAGCGGCCCGGCGAACGCCCAGTGAGAACCGATAGAGAGTGGTGTCGCGCACAAGATCGTGTCGCCGACCACATCAAACACATTCCTCAGGTGACACAGGCATCGTTGATGGACGTCATGGGTATGGTTCGGGTACTGGTTCAGGTATATCACAAACCCAGTGGATGCAGTTGCAGGCCTTTCTCCAAAATAGTGATGATGATTGTTTACCCACTGTTACAGCTTGGACTCAAAGGGCGGCAGCTCTCAGCTCTCCGACATCCTATCAGAGGGTCGTCCAAAAAAGTCATCAACATTCACCGCTCCCCCTCTCCGCACCTCCTATGGTGAGCCCACAATTGCTAACGCGGAGCGCCATCGTGGCGATGTTCAGGGCGCCCGGGGTGCCCGGCATGAAACTGATGCTGGCCGACAAGCCGAGAAGGGCACAAACGGTCACTACCTCATCCAGCAGGGGCACGGACGAACCGGAGTACCGGACGTGGATTGGATCTGCAGGAGTGCTCCCAGTGTGCCCAGGTTTGGCGGATTGCAACCTCTTCCAACCAGTAAGCACGAGACCCTTTTCTTGAACCATTTGATGGAGTCGGAGCATATCTCATCAAGCGATCTTCGCCGGGTGCGTGGTCAGCACCGGTCGTTCGACGGACGCCACGCGCCGAGGCGGCGGCGGAATCGGGCTCGTTGAGGAACAAATCACCTGCACGGCACCCGGGGGAATGGTGAGGTCAGTGAAGTGGGCTGAGTCCCTGGGGGATGAAGTATGATGAAGTTCAGATCTGCGTGAGTCTGGATGAGGAAGAATTATTCATTTGCAGCGCAACATGGTGGGTTGAAAGGAGGCCACTGCTGCACGGATATGATTTCCTTGGGAGTCAAAGACTATAAAAAGAATGGTCTTTAGGGGGCCTGAAAGGGAACTTCCTTTACTTCAGCCGGTCAAAATATAGTCTTTGGACTTCTAGGGATTTTGTATTTTATCATCCCATGTTGACACCAACATCTTTTTGACACTTGAAAGTCACCGGGCTTGACTTCCAAAAGGGTCATGAATTGGAGTCCTCTGATCCCAAGGACGTCCTGCGCCCCCTGCGCACACGCCGACGCCGCGGACGCCGCGGACGCGTCAGCGGCTGAACCGCCTGCCGGATCTTCATACTGCGGCGTGCTGACCTCGCTGCCCGGCGAACGCCCGGGCGGATCCAGTGAGCTTCCACCGAAGGTTCTTCCCGTGAGGATCGCCGCACAGCTGGTGTCTGGGACAGCTCAGTAGATGTTCACGCGAAAGGCGTACGCTCAAACGAAAACAAGAAACCACTCAGGTCACTTCTGAGGGCTCAGCTCAGACTCCTAGACTTTGTAAAGTGGCCTGTCTACTCATAAAAGCTTCCTCACCTAGATGGCCAACAAAGTCCTCTGCAGGTGCTTGGAGCTTTACTCATCATCAGTCGGTTAGATTTCCTTTCGCCCAGGAGTGATTCACCCCAACCCGCCCCGAGTCGCTGACCATGACGGTGGCATAAAGAAGACACATTCCAGTCGTCAATGCCCAGCCACCAATCTGCGGTGACCACTCAGAAGAGGGTGAGAAGTCTGTAGCGATGACTTCGATTGGTTCTTTTGTTGGGTTACGTCAGTTAACCAAACGGTTGGAACAGGCATAGATTCTTTTTTTTTTGGAACGTGGACATCACCACAAATAGATTTTACCGGGTTACCAAGGGCGGCAGCGAAAATGAAGGAGATCGACTGAGTCTCGGTCGTGGATCGTTCAGTTGTTGCTTGGGCCTGCATGGTGTTCTTTCGCTCCATTTTTTCGCCGACGTAGTAGTAAGGGGAGGCCCTAGTAGTCAGGCCAGGAGCCCCGTTCGTAGCGTCCTTGCTCCGTTCGTAGCGATGCCATGAGCCCCGTTCGTAGCGTCCGATCGCTCTGTTCGTAGTAAGGGCCAGGAGCAAGAGCCCCATGCTGACGGTGTGTACGGACGGGTCGAAGAAAGTAGACATGGATTGACACACCCAGGGACTAGCGACGGATCGGCATCCTAGCAGCATGGCAGCTGCCAGGGGAAGGCGCCAGGGGAATCTGGAGGCTTCTGGCCGATAAATGGTACGGTATCGGTATAGTAAAGTAATCCGCGTTCAGGCTTCTGGGGTGTTGCCCATTTCAGACATGTAGTTGATGAACGGAATGATGAACGGAATCCCTATCACTGCGGTTAAATCAGGAATCTTTCTTATCTGAAGAACAGGCCACTGGACTGGGATGGGATTTCTCAGTTTGTCTGTTCAACGCTTTTTGAGACACACGAAAGCAAACGAACAGCTGGCAATCCTTGATTCATTGAACGTGGCCGCGCTCTCTTTTTCTGCCTCATCTCGCTAAGGTGTCCTGTGGCAGGTTTGCAAACTTGACCAACAAGTCTTCCAGCAACTTCATGTCAGAAGATTCACCCTTGATAGCAGCCTCAAAATCACTCACTTGGTAGGCTTTCAGGAACTCGAAGAACTGATTGGCTCCATCTCGAATGAAATGGCCGTGCTCCACGCCACAAGAGAAGAAGCGTTTGTCCTTCTCATCTGAGAAAAGGACCTTGTACACCTCATTCAATTGAAGGACACCATCAATCATGAAGCCGCACACATATGCGAACATGAAGTGATACCAATTATCCGCCGGCTGCTTCAAATCATTCACTAGCTTCTGAGTTTTGGGCGAATTCACCCACTTCTTGGCTTCATTCCTCAGAAGTACATAGCCTCGGTGAAGACTTTCAGGATTGAGCTTTCCATCCGAGAGCTGCTGGCACATCCAAATGGCCTCCGCTCTGGGATCTTTCTCCGCCTTGGCCGCCCGTGCCCTGGCCTTGGCTTTGGCCTTGGCCTTGGCTTTGCCCGTCACTGCCAGCGAACTGCCAACCTTCATGGCCTTCATCTTCGTACCCTTCATGACGGAACTGGATGAACTTGGTTTCTTGATTGGCCCGCAGCTGGATGCACTTGGCTTCTTCATTGACCGGCGGCAAAAACAGGGCTACAAGAAGAAGTAAGCTACCGCAGCGGATGCCGGTAAATCTTGCTTGAGCCGTCATCCAAAGAGAACTGGTGCTACAAACCGCAGATAGGCTCACAACCAAAGGATTTCTTGGCGGAACTTCTGCCGATTTCGACGGGAACTGGTGCGCCACACGCAGTTCAGCGGTGCGGAACTCGTGCGCACCCAGCACATGTGCCTGGAAAATCAGCTGAGTCCAGTTCAAGACCTCAGTCACTCAGCTATCCAAGGCTTTTGATCCTTCCTCTTGGTAGATGTTCTTTGGGGCAGTTGATTTATACCATCTGGGGCCCAGAAAACCACCCAGTTGCTGGGCTCTTCGCTTTCCCGGTAAAGAGTCTCACGTCTCCGTGGGGAAGTCAGGCCACACGGAAGACCAGCTGGGTAGGATGAACAGGATGAACAGCAGGAACGGGGTTTCCGGGAGAAAGAAGGCCCCTTGGTTTCTGGGAACCAGGAGAAAGAAGGTTTTTCTAGTCCAGCTTGGTTCCTGGGAGCTTTTTTGAGGAGCCAGGAAAGAATTAACACCTTTCCGGAAGGGGATTGAAATGGATTGAACCACAAGGAAACTATAAACATCACCTTAAGCAAAACCAGGTTCTTCTTAGGCTACCTGAACCCCCCTTAAAAGAATGATTTTACCTACTACTGTATGAGGTTGGTTTGAAGCTGAAGGCCATCTGGAAAAGGCACACTGCCAGTGAAGAATTCCATCTCAAAAGTCAATCTTTGGGTTTTTAGACTTCTATTTTGGGAACAAACTCAGACCTCCATCCACCGCAGTCATCTGCGAATACTCCATGCTCCTGCTCACGCTAAGCTGACCACCAACTCTGCTGAAGAGTCCTCGAGAGTGCCCATCCTGTCAAGCAGCATGGAGAGTGAGGTGTCTGCTTCTTTCGCGTTTACGGCCGCAACGCTGGGGAAAAACAGCATGACACACCCGCTGTTTTGACGCGGGCTTTTGGTGGCTCGGCATTGCGCCCTCGCCCGCCCTCCCGCCCTCCCGCCGTCCCTCTGAGACACCCAAACGCATAGGCGGTGGCTTGGCAATACTCATGGGACGTGACGGCCATGTCCTCAGAGCGGTCTCTTCGGACGGTGGGGCCCTGCAGGCCGGGCGATGGAAGATGCCCTCTGAGTGACGGATGGTTTTAGTGAGCACCACCGAAGAAAATAACAAATACCTACAGTATATAACTATATAACTATATATATAACCCCCAAGATAAGATAGAAAAGGAGATCTCCACTAAAAATGTATTGGAAACCGTTTCTATCATTTTCTATATCTATTTGGGCACCACTATATCGATGGCGAAGACCTGCTTCTTTTTGAGACTGCGAGACGTGCTGCTTCTTTGCGCCCCGCGCTTCTGGGAGACCTGGTTGCTAGGCAATCAGGTCAGGAAACTACTTGCTGAGATCTTCCCATCCACCTTGCCTTGCTGATGGGCAACACATTTGTGGTGCAACGAGCCTCCCAAGAGCCTCCTCTGGCACTTATGCCATTGAAACACAGATGCCATGAATCGGGCCCAAAAGTTCATTGACCGTATACGACTTACTTTCGATGTCCACCTCGGTAAATGGGTTTGTATTTCAATAGGGGACCTCCCAACCATTGGATTTAGAAGGATTTAGATGGATTTCCTGTGTTTTTGCTTCTCCCAGAGATCTTTGGGAAGACTCCGGGAAGACCTCGCTCTTTCCACGCCGGGCTCCTGCTTTCTGCGGCGTTGCCTTTGGCAACGACTGAGCTCGGTCGGTCCGCGTCCGCACATGGCGGACGTCCGAACTCTGGCGGAGCTTCGCCACGGTCGAGAACGGGTGTTTGGACATCGCGGCTTTGTCCCGGTGGAAGAAGTGGCAGCCTCACATTCTGAGCACGGTCCGTTCTGGATCCACATCGATGTGAACCTCACCTGTGCGGCTCGGCATGGAGGCATGTTTGGAAGGGAGCGTGTTTAGAGATGGGTTTGATAGAGAGCCATTCCGTTGGGGAGATGGGCTTGATTCACCCGCAGTAGGAGAGTCTGCTTGAATCTACTTGAGCAGAAGGATGTGACTTGGACAAGGGACACCTTCAACATCAAGGCTCATCAAGGAAAACGACAGAGCTCCAAACGAGAAATGGTGAGAAGACGATGAGCTCCAAGCATCCAAAATGAGGCGAAAAAACATCCTTTGGGCTGTTGCGGGTCAAATTGAAGACCTTCAGCCTTGAAAGACATGAACATTGTAAAATGATATGAAATGATCCATCTAACAAGTGCAGCTGAATCTTGAGAGATGCCCACCAGAAAGGCATTTTCCAGAAGTCGAGCCCAAGTGATTTCAACTGTCTGCTGGGATAGCGAGACTCGACCGAGGCCTGGTTTGCAGCCCTTTAACGACTAGTAGCACGAAGCTACTACTAGCGATGCACTTGCTATTATGAATCTGTTCCTTGGGCGTTCTGAAAGGTGTCGAAGTGACCAGTGAGACCTACGAGGTCGAGCGGTCTCCGTTCCATCGAAGCCCGTCTCCGTTCCATGGATTTGCTCAAGAATCTCAAGGAGCGGGGAAGCAATGAAAAAAAGGATTCACCAAAAAAAAGGATTCACCGAAAAGGGCACTAAACATCGAAGCTGTCACATCTTTGGTTTTCAGAGTGTCTGCCCGAACAGGTCGACCCCAATCGCAAGTCTTCCACAGACCGACACTCGATTCCATCGCTGCGGTGGAAGGAATTCCCGGCCTTTGAGACCTTTGAAGAGGCCCTCAAAATTATTGTCCACCTCCTCTTGGCACTTCCTGAGAGGTGATTCTGGCGAGCTGAGACGAAGGTCCCAAAGGCTGGAAGTGATGGGATTCTGCGCTAGCTTTACGTACACCACTACTCCGGGGAAAAACAACATAGACCGTAACTCAATTTCAAGTGCGCTTTAACATGGACCACTGGAAACGGTGACTTCCTGGGGAAACGGTATTAGCGCCTTTTTTGGCAATTTCTGGACCCTCACTAACATGGACCGTTCCCACTCTCAGTCTATGATCGATTTTGACACTAACATGGACCAACTGCACTCTGACTATAAACTGAACGCAGGCTAACATAGACCGCGCCGGTAGAGATCAACATGGCCCGGTGGAGGCTAACATGGACCATGTCACATACCTGTAGGGGCCTCCTGAACATGGTCTACGTTAGTCTCAACAGAGGTACTGCAGGTGCAAAACTAGACAGCTCTTTTAGCACGGTGGAGGCCAATATGGCACCCTGGAAAGGGCGCATTCCTGGGACATATAGGATACTGGGATTTCGAGCATCAGCAGCCAGCAAGCCCTAACATTACTCTTTTGACATATGTTACGTCTAGTTTCGGAGCGGACACCGTTGAGACTAACCTGAGTCAGGCTTGTGGCTAACATGGACCATTCCCACTCTCGCTACTCTCAGTCCACGGTCCAACCTCTCGCTACTCTCAGTCCACGGTCCAACCTGACACTAAGTTTTCCAGATATCGAGTGAGGCATGTGGCTAATATAGACCACTTCCACTCTCAGTCCCTGGTCCACACTGACACAAACTTTCCACAAACCTGAGTCAGGCGGGTGGCTAACATGGACCGTTCCTACTCTCAGTCTATGATCGATTTTGACACTAAGACTTACTGCACTCTGACTATAAACTGAACGCAGGCTAACATAGACCTTTCCGGTAGAGGTCAACATAGCCCGGTGGAGGCTAACATGGACCATGCCAAGTACCCGTAGGGCCCACCATGGCACATCTGAATTTGGTCTAGGTTAGTCTCAACGGTGTCCGCTCGGAAACTAGACTAACATATGCAAAAAAAAGTAAATTTCTTTTTTTGGCCAAAATGTTAGTTTTCACCGGTGTAGCTAGGAAGCTCGGCACGAGGAGGCTTTCGTGCGCGGACAGCTGTCTGGCCCCCCTTGCGAGACTACCCATGCCAGCAGGCATGAAGTACGATGAGCGCAAGCTCTGCACGGTGTCTGAGCGAGCGAAAGCATGGAAATCCCTGAGTTGTACTGCTGGCCGAGGAGTTCGGCTTAAATCATACGCAAAGATATGCAAAGCAACTTTCCCTTAGCTCGAAGCAACTCGATTTAGTGCCACACTGCAGCGCACGCTCGTAAGTTAAGTCAAGTTGACATAGGATTTCACCGGGGGGGAAGGGCTTTTCAGTTAACCTGGGTGGTGGTTTCCAGAGCTTGCCCTTTTCTTGTGCCATTCGGATATCATCGGACATCTCATGCCCTGTCTTGGCAAGCATCCGAAGCGCCTCCGCCAAGTTATTTCGAAGGATCTGGTTGATCTTATCATAACCTGGGCCACCACAAAAAGAAGCGAACGTCGCACATGGCTCGTCGCTTATCGCAAACCTTGAAAGAAAAGGTCCTCCAGTCGCACTGAGAAAAACTCATCTTTGCACTGCATGGCAAATTGGTTGCTTTCATTCTTGGTGCTTTCAGTGCTGTTTTGACCGACCACCAGAGCCCGGGCCTCCCAATCGGAAGACAAACATGGTATCCTACGACGTGCTGATAGAAATCAATCCAAACGACACCAAGCTCCTTTTCACCTAAAGCAGCCTCCACTTCAAGTGGCGCAAGACCAAATACCTTCGACATCCTTCGACAGTGTGGCTCATTGGCGCCTCTACTCATGGCCGTTGCCTACAGCGTTGGCTGCCACGAGGACGATGGAGGACGATCATCGCCGAATCATCGCAGCTCAGTGACTGCCCATCTCTTTCAACACCAGGCTGTTAATCATGTCCTTGTCTTCCTGCACCCCAAAAAACAAAAAACACTTACAACCTGCTGTCCACACACTTCGGAATCTTCTACTGCTAGCATCTGGGCCATTCTGGGCCTCCCAAACAATGTGCTGAAGTGACACTGCAAGAGAGCCACACGTTCCTACACCTTCTATGCTTCTCACGTTGTCCCTATGAGTGCTGCGCCGAAGTGAAGCATTCCGCGGCTCGTCCGCCTGGCTCGTGGCCGTCGCGTGCTCCAAACCTGAGTGCAATCGCCGTGTTCGGAGCCCTGGTGGAGCCCAGCAAGTTCGGTGCGTGGAAAGGAGGAGAACTGGAAGGCCTATCTGAATGCACATGCATGTAGAGAAAAACGCAAGGGCGACAAGTGACTCAAGTTTGACCGGTTTACTACTAAGCAGACTCCGCAACTAGCACTCTTCCACAAGTGACAGTTGTGAGTGGTTGGAGGTCCAAAGGATGCTAGTAGAGAATCCATCGCAGCACTTATTAGCCAGTTGGCTGATTTCATCTTTTGAGCAATGCCTAATGCCTCAGCAGCACTGACCATCCCTAACTTATGGCCGAAGCAAAACAGAAGCTCCCATGCGGCAAAACCACTTCCTTTCCCCTTTCCCTGCATCTGTGTTTTCCCCCAAAGGCTCGCCGCATCGATTGAGCACGTTCCACCCCACTCGGGTGACCGCTCCGGCCGAGGGGCTGAGGTTCTTGATGTTCTCGCCGATCTTCATCGCGATCTCCACCGTGGCCTGTCCGTAGTTCCTGCGGAGAGACCACACGAACGACCCCCCGTCGTTCAGGGGACCGGAGACAGGAGGGATGGAGTGACAGGCGGAGTGAGGGGAATCTTGGAGTGGGGAGGACTGGGGTGAGTTTGGGGGGGCCACGGTCACGTGAAAATGGCCTCATCTTCATGAGATGCCCCCCTCTCCAAACCCATCAAAGCCCGGGTCCGTCATGGCTGTTGCTGGTTGGATCTGGTTCCTTTGACCGGACCTTGGGCTCGGTCCCCTTCACCTTGGTGTTCATGAGTTCCTCCCACAACCCTCCCCTTGGTGAGTCCAAGGCTGGAAAGAACACATCCGCCAAGGCTGCCAAGGCTCAGCACTCCAGTTTTGGTGCAAAAGAACATCCCTGCCTGAGATCGTCCGCGCCGAGTCGTGACCCAGATCTGATCTCAAGATACACGGTCGTGACCAGGTGTATCTGGCTACGTGAAGCCCCCGCCAAAAGGATTCAATGGTGGTCACTTGCACAAGGGGAACTCATATATAGGTATGGTAAAACCCATGGGGGATCACTACACTCTTGAAAACAAAAGAAACCTGCAGGTGGTTGGGTCGGCCACCCCGGAGGTGTTAAAGGCCAAGCGAATCACACCCTGTCTGGAAGCCTATAGGTTATAGGTAGTGTGGGGTAGTCCAGCCAGGACACTCCGAGGGTCGGATGGTCCTGGTCCGTGCGCCCAGTCGCTGATTTTTTGGGTGGTGCCAACTCACAGGGTGTCACCAAGAGGTGGGGCGACCGCATGGAGTCGGCGACCGCATGCGGCTGATCGGGGCTGGGCCTCTAGGGAGTGGAGGACTTCTCAGTGCTGTGCTGATCCTGAAGGATGGAAATTCTCGGATTCTTTTGCAGATCCTGAAGGCAACATCAAGGGAACAAAAAGCAGACTAGCTCGGATCCGTTTCTCCGATCTGTACACCACTGGACCGATGTTTATATATCTGCCATCTGCCCTGAACAAGAAAAACAAGTGAGCTGGGAGGGTTCCTACTCCATGAAGACGGCAGTTTGTATAGACGAATTGGCACATTGATCACAAAATGGGACTGCCGGATCTTGATGTTTTCCCCCATTCCAGTCAATCTGAGATGCAAATTCCCGTCTGGAATCTGTAGATGCCGAAATGATTTGCAGCCTCTTCCGCTCCGCTTCAGCTTCAGACTTCCTGGCCGGTCAAGGAACAGAATCTAACCGATTCCACCATACACAGCAAACAAGCAGAAGGGCTTCTCAAGGATCTGCAGCTAGGTGGGTGTCGATGTCTTGAAAATTGCGCTTCTCACCACCTTCCGTTCTCCACCACTGGGATTCGATGATACACCAATTAAACCCTTGGCACCCGTGAACTTGATCAATATCATCATTCCACCAAGGCTGGTTGGAATGTATTCAGCAAGGTGCACGCTATGTGACCTTGCAAGCAAGCTATCGGAAGCATGGCAGTTCTCCACCCTCAAGTGCTGCGATTCATGAACAACACATTTCGATCCCCATCCAAAACAGACTCTTTGAGGCCAACCGCCGTCCAACCGCCGGTCCATCCGCCAAAACGAAACCCGGAGCGTTCTGAAACATCGGACGCCTCACGGTTTGCAAGAGCTCAAACAAACACCAGGATCTCTTCAGTAAGGAGGCTTCCTCATCCATGATCATCGCCGTCCCCTGAGCACTGGAAATTGGACGGCAAACGACTGGCAAACGGAGAGGGAAGACTGGAACTTTTGGGACCTCTCAAGGGTTCAAGGTGGCAGTGTTTGAACCCTCCTTTGAACAGTGACCGTTGCCACGGTTAAAGCATATCACAAGCACCGCCAGAACCACTGCTGTCCTTCTTATCTTGAGCACAGCGCGTCATTTGCATTTTCACGTAGCCTATAGCAGTGCTTTTGCATCATCCGACCCCATTTGGCTGGAAGTGCGCTGCCAACAATTCTGTGCTAACTCATGTCTCGGCTTCATGTTTTCGCTGGTATTTTGCACTTCTGAACTATCCACATTCGGACTCTCTCTTTTTTGCTCTTCTCTACGACCACCTCTGCCTCCGAAGGCCAACATCAACTGTTCCCATGGCCTTGCACTTGGGGCTGTGCAGCGCTAAATAGAAGGAGGACTCTTCATGCGAATGGCCACCCAGCTCCTGCCCGCACGAAGAAGGCTCTCGTGCTCTCACGAATGCGCGTGATGCGAAGCTGCCAGGCCGTCAATAGGGCCACGCGAAGGGTTTTCCGTCTTGGACGGTGGCAGTTCTTCATTCACACTTCATGACTATCAACTTAAACTCCGTCTTGATGTGGATGGGAAACACACATTTTTTGATGGTTGGTGACGTTTGGTGCCCCCAAGCAAGGGTCAATTGAGGACTTGGCATTTCATATCCACTTGTTGCTCTTCAGCAACTTCTCCAGCCGCCACGATCACCAACCCCTCCAAATCAAAGGCCTCGTTTTACTGGGCTCTATTTTCTGCAAAACTGATAGCAAAATTCGACCTCTAAAAGCTTTTCGTGGAAATGGTGGAAAGCCCGACTTTACTCCGTAAAGGACGTCTTTTACTTTGGCAACTATAATTAGAAGTAAAAGACGTCTTTTACTTGGCAAATGGTAAAAGTAAAAGACGTCTTTTACTTTATGCATATATGGTGCACACATACATGGCACGATGATTGTGATTCAACATGCTGCACCAATGGCTTTCCAGGAGCGTTTTGCTCTACTTTCCGTTATCGCGCGAACATCGCACAGACAAATATGTGTGGCAACAATGCAACAAGCGCATGCATATCAAATAAGTGGCGCCCAGGCTGCTAGATCTTTTTAATCTGAAGCAAGGTCGATGCGTTACAACACAGACAACGCATGTGGTTGAAATTGGCCGTTTCTGGCCCGGGCATGGGACCGTGACTCTCGCGTGACTCCCACCTAAACCACGAAGTTTTTGACGTCCTTTACTTAGTAAAGGACGTCAAAAACTTCGCCATGGACATCATTGGGCGTGACTCTAGCATGACTCTAGTGTGACTCTATAGCATGGGACCTGCAAGCTTCTAATGCGATTTGACGATGAACTGTCATCGGCTTGAACAATGCACGCGTGCAATTGCAAGCAGCAAACATGACTCCCACGTAGCCATGTATATCATGGCAATGTAACTGGTAAATTGAGCAAACAACGTGCGCAAAAAAAATACACCAAGAAAAGATTCGCACGCGTGGACTTGCGTAAGGCATGTCGCCGCTAAAAGTGAGCGTATGGGTACCATGTCTCCGGTATGCATGCACATATGTATGTATAAGGACCATCGAACCCCAAAAAATGTTCCATGGAAATGACCTTAATGCCCAAAGAAATTTGTGTGGAAGTGGTGACCTTAATGCCCAAAGAATCTTCCGTGGAAATGGTGACCTGAAAGTTTTTGAAGGTCAAAGAAAATGTGACCTCGTAAAACTGGGTCGTTTACAGCAGGACCTCGTAAAACTGGTCCTTTTGAGGTGGAGGGAACCCTCTGTTCTCTTTTCAGTATCACCTTTTTGACCAACAGGATCGGCAAAAGCAATAGAGCAAATAGAGGTACCTCAACGCTCGGATTCTGAGGTTACTATAACTCTACCCTATCCTTCCAAGACTGTAACAGAAAGGTTGAGCTGGTTCTGCAGTGTAATGTCGTTAGTAAAACACATGTTGCTCGGTAAACGCTGCCGCTATTAAATCAATGGTGGTTGGAAGACTCGGGGTATAACAATGAATTTGAATGTGGCTGGCTCTACATGGAGCTCGGAGTAGCCCAGCCAGCTGCAAAGTCTCTCAGCCACGTGCCGAACAACAGTCCTCCTGCACTCTGTACTGATTGTTGCTAAAGGTGCAAATCCAATAGGCAATCTTCTTCCTCAGGTGCCAAATCCAATACGCCTTTATTCCTCATAAGTTTACCCGGAGTCTGAAAACATCTTGGAGACGTGGTGGAATACTGAAAATGGCTACACCCCGTGGTTTAACTATAGACTGGTGTTGGATCGCCGTGCTTGGAATCTCGGACGACATGAGCTGGAATAGGATCTCCCATCACCGGACCTAGCATCGAATCGAACCTCCCTGGCATCAAAGCTGTCGAATCAAATCCGAAAGACGTCCCTCACACCGGGACACCTCTTGGCACCATCCCTGACTGCGGCCCTCGGCCAAGACTCCAATCAGACTCGTCTTCGGAGTGGCACATGTGGATGGCATGGCGCTTCACCGATTCGCAGAAGTTCATGAAGGGCGTGCCCCACCAGTGACTAATGAAGAAATCCACCTGTCGCGCGTCTCGGCGTTGGGAACGAGAGGAAGAACCCGTGCTTGGACGATTTTACAACATCCAGTCGCAATTTCAAACTGGAGACAAGCGCAAAACAAATACTATATATAATAAGTTATAATAACAATAAGTAATTACATCTCTTTATCCGTGTCTATTGCAACATCTCACACCTCCATACCTACCATTTCCCCATCCCTCACAGGACAGCTGCGCATCCTCAATCCTTTCCCAGTGCCCCACCCCGGAGACCGGCGGCCTGACTGGGCCCCACGCGCTCGGCAAAGCTCAAGCGATGCTTCTTGGTCAAGGGCCTCACCTGGCGTTCGCTCACTCGCGTGAAACAACACGGCGAGTGAGGCGGTCAGGTCGCATGGTCTGGTCCCCTGTGAAAGTCTCAGGCGATCGAAGGATCCATGATGCACCATGCCATGATTCTAGGAGATCCAATGGCCTGATCCGAAGAAATGAACAATGGCCTGGTCCTTGTGTGAACAAGGGAAATCCCATGAAACCCCTCCACGACCTGATCCAAAGACTATCGACGGTTTTCTCACCGGAAGGACCGAGAGTATGTGTTCTCCGGCTGAGCAGGTTACTTTTGTGTCTTTCTCCTGTCTGTTCATGTCTTTTCACATTGGTTTTGGTTTTGGAATCGGCTGGAGATGACTGGGGCACAACACGAGGTCGGGATGGAACTCTGGACTTTTACCTTTGGAAGAATTCGATGATATAGAGATCGCCTCTTCCAAAGGCCAGGACTTCGTCTTCGGAAGGTCGGATGGACTCCATCTCTGGTGGTACGGAAGGGCAATCTTTGCGATCATCATTGCAAATACAGTACATCATAAGTTGGTCCTATAAATCAATGCATTCATTGCATGCATATGTAAAGCAACCTCGCGAATCGACATTCTCCGAGTTCAGCCCAAGGGGTCTCACACTCGCCATGCCCAGCCGCACCACAACACTAGAAGCACGGTGCGGCACCTCCAAACGCACCAACCACACCAACCTGACCTGTTCCCCAAGGGCACAGGTACCGGAAAAAGCGTCGTTCCACACACGCCCAGCGAACTCGACTCGACCCTTCGACCTCTCTTCGCCCAGTGGCCAGGTTGGGATCTAAGTAGTACATGTTCCGCCCTTTGATGAAGGCCTCGGGGTTCCCCGCGGCGTCCCGCGGCGTCCCGGAAGGTCCAGCGCACATGGCCGAGTCGTGGGGGAAGGGCTGGGCGAAGACCACGAGGTGCTTGCACTTGATGGGAATCAGTGCCACTGTGCTATTGTTGGTTTTCAGAAGCACTTTGGAGTGGCACTCACGCCTGAAGAATTGATGTCGTAAATGCCTTGAATGCGCTGCCAGTTCTCTGGTAGCATCCTGCAAGACATATATTGCTATTCCCACGGCTTTTCGACAAAAGGAGCAAACCAGTCACAAGAACTTCTGTTGACCATCCTAAAGCCATCCAAGGGCACTACAACTGGCACACCTCAACTGCTCCTGTGACCTGTTTTATACCACGCGTGTTACCCACGGCGGCCCCACACCCTACAAAGGTTGAACAGCCCTAATTCGCCCATCCCACATGCTCCCCATGCAAAATCCCCAGTGCAGGGTGTCTCCCCAAAAGAAGAACCTCCAACAAAAACCACCTAACTGGTACATATTTGTACCGCCCCCCCGGGGCATGGACCACCGGACCTACCCCCCTTCCACCGGACCCGTTCGGCCACGCCCGTGCCGCCTGGAAGAAGTCGTAGAGATCGAAGAGTTGAAAGGCGGTCACCGCGCGCTGGGCGCCCCGTGGACAGGCCTTCGGCTTAGGATGCTGCTCATCCAGGATCCGATCTCGGCGCGGTGCGCGCGGCGCGGGTGGCGAAGAAAAAGGATTTCCCCAAACACTCCATGTGAGTGGGCGTATTTGCATACCTTGGGGTGGATGCACACGCATGTCATATTACAAATTGGAAGGTGGTTTAGCCCTGCAGTAGTCATATAAGTGCATCTTCATTGGCCATCGCAAGAGGACGTTGGGGTGGTTTCAGGGGCCAATGTAGGTATAGATTCCATACATGGAGCTTCTGGGATCCTTTCCTCCAATCACAGTGGCAACTGATTGGGTGACGGAGGTGCAAGGAAGCTGACGGCGGAAGCTGGCTCCGACATAGAAACCCGAGTTCAAAGACTCTTTTGGACGCCACTTCAAAGTGTGGCTTGGAAATTCCCTGGACTCGGCTCACCTGCAACACCGTCATCCCCGTGCTACGAACGAACATCGCACATGAGAAAAAAGACTCGGATCACCTGTTGTCGCGTTAAAGAGGCCCTTCCTGGACTCGGGGGGTCCATCTGTTTTCGACTCATTTGTCACCTCAACAAGGTCTTTCCTGGTACAGGCCCCTCCGAATACATCCATTTGGCAAGACAGACCACAATGAACCCTCTTGTGACATCTCACCATGCCTGGGAAAGTGATTTCTGCCTCTCTGCGTGCCATGCTGTTGACTTACTTTCGTCGTTCGTTGCTAGAAAGAGTCAGCCAGTCACTTGCCAAGTCTGTCTAGGCACCAAGGAAGTAGATTGTTTCTAGATGTAGTCGGCTCGAAAAACGGATGGCAACAAAACGGATGGACAAAGGAAACACCTCTTAGTGTAGCTCATCGGCCCAAGTTGTAGCTGAGACCTGCAGCCGACTGCAGCTCGAGCGGCTGTATTGCTGCACGCGTCTGGACAGTGGAGATCGATACTGTTGCGTCTTCCTCGATTCACCAAGTCGGAAGGAGCGGGATGACTTTCCACATGCACTCTCTGGAACTAACCTTAGAAGTGGAAAATGGCCCCTTGGAAGACCATTTTCCTCTACAGACAGGTTTTCCACTTCCAAGTTAGCTTCAGGGAGAGCTAAGCCCACGAAGGCATCTGGGTATGACGCCAGACTCACTGGATCTCAGGGGTGAACATCGAAACATCGGACATCTTTCAGACGACTCAACGCACCAGATCCAGTCTTCGCCAGTCTTCCCGCACCCGCACCGAGTTGGATGCCCGAGGATGCGAGTCCGGCCAAGAGTCCAGTAGATCACACGCATCCAAAAGGCCAGCATCAGCTCGATGGCCGAGAGGATCAACACGAACTCGGCGGCGCACGAAGAACACACCCGCAAACGCGCGCACAGGGTGCGCACACACGTCGGTGCCGCAAGGGTTGCGTTCGCGAGCGCAGCGTCGGGCTCGCAGGCGTCAGGTCACCGGAGAAACGTGATGACCCCCAGCGCCCGGCGTCGGGAGCATCCCTCGTTAAACGTATCCCTGGTTTTTGTAGTGTAAAATCCTTAGTTGATTCGGTAAAGCCTATTGAATGAATGGTTGTTGGAAGCCTAGGGTATGGATGAACATGCTAGGACTACGAAGTGTTCCTCCGACTCTTCCATGTTTGCTTTCCAGGGTAGGCTTCAATTGTTTTGCAGGTGCGTGGCGGTAGAGCACCCACAGAACTAGCAATAAAGCTTTTTGGATGGAGGGAAGGTAGCCCTACAACGAGGCGCACCCCCTAAGGATCACAAAGAAGCCGCTACAAAACATCAAATGCATCCGTTAGCTGTTAGCTTTCAGAGCTGTACCAAAACCCTAGGGCTCCAGCCGTACCTTCTGAGAAGGTGGGACCGGGGTGGGTATAGGTCCAGTCATAGCTTCTGAGCGGGTACGACTGGAGCCCTAGGGAAACCACCATGTCATCCCCACAGGCATCACCTGCGACATCTCACGGGCGGGTCCCTGGCCCTGCGAGCTGGGTGATCCAGGCTGACAACGGAGGAGATCCATATTGGATCGCACTCAAGCCGACCGCGAAGAGGACCACGATCAACACCATCACGGGACACACCTCGTGGAAGGGTTTGGGTGTTGAACGATGTTGAACGTCTTGGGATGTCTTGGGACACATGGAAGTTAGCATGAAGCAATCATCACCAACACACTGGCAAATACTGTAGTCAGACATACAATGTGGACATGCGGACCCATATTTCATAGGCATGTAGGCTCCACAGATCGGCAAGCCACCAAAACATCTAGGCTCCCTAATGTAGACTTCCAATTTCCCTCCCAAAAATGGGTCTTGTCCCAAATGGACGGGGGTTTCTTCCTCAATGCGTCCATATCAACCCTCCTTCGGTGCAGTCCATGTCCGTGGGGCCGGAGTCGGTCTGATCTGGCCTGATAGAGCTGGCCATACCAGAAGGTGCCTCCAGCGCACCCCGTGACGACGCACCCCGTGACGACGCGGAACGCGAGGAGTTCGGATTCGATTGGTTGGGAGGTGTGCTATCGGAGCTGAAGCTCATCGTGCTGTAGTTGAGCCACAGCTCACATTATGTAACGGGACTAGGACTGTTCGAACTCTCCTCCACCAAAACGCCACAGCAAAGAAAGAAGCGCCCAGTTCAGCTTCTGGTGCCCTTCAACTCTCATCCACCATCATACGAGTAACCAAGGATTTAAATCTCATCAAGGCTCCATGAGGGGAACCATTTTTATCACCTACTCAGTTGAGGGTTTCGCAAACCACACTCCAACTCTGCCTTGGCACCTGCCACCGGCACCCAAAGCACTCGGGTGCACCAGTCCACCACATAACCCACCCGAAGAGTGTTTGGCGCTCGCGGACGCGCGGCGCTCGCGGACGCGGAGCTCGCGGACGCCTGGGAGGGACAGCATGAAGTGGCCGCCTGAGGCGTCGGCCACGAAGACGTCGCCAGAGAGGCTAGTGATCTCCAGGCGCCGCGAGTCCAAGGCCGTCACCCTGGCGGTGGTGAAAGCGGGGTGGAGGGTGGGGTTGGGCACTCTTGAATGGCTACTTTGGGATGAGAACCTTCAATTCTCAATTTGAGTCCCTACTGCACACAGCTAGTTATGGAAATATCGTATAGAAGAGCGGGTTGCACACCTTCAGCACAGCGAGCAGACAGTTCAGCAAACTGCCAGTCATTAGGTAGCCGACTCTAACTCACCAAACCTCAGAGCAAATCGAAGCTCTCACGGCCTTCGCCTGTGCCCGTCCAGGAGGAAATGATTCGTCCCATAGAAAATCACCTGGAAGGTTGTACCTCAGAACGCTCGTTTCAACGCCTTCCATCACCGCAACAACTGGCATAAGATGGCTGGTAAGAAGTGATTGCAGCAAATTGCAAGCCATGATAACCCATGTCTGATCAACAGTGGAAGCAGTTCCAGGAAATACAAAGAGTTACTGCGTTTCTCAAGCAGGATGTTCATCCTGTGGCACCTCCAAGGCTTTGTGGCACCTCCAAGGCTTTGCAAGGATGGAGTCAATAACCAGCGAACAAATGCATGTCCGTCATCTCTTACCGATTGATCTCCAGCCTCTAAACAGATGGTGTGCTGGTTGGCAACCCCACACCCCAAATAGAACCCCCGAATGAACACACTCCTTCCAAAACTCCTCGACCTTCACCCGAATTTGTCGAAATCTCCGAGTTCGCCCCCCCCGATGATAGGCCAGAAAACGACGAGAGTCGCTCAGTCAAATGAGGATGGCAAAAACACATGAACAAAGGGTCGTTCCACCATGTTCGCCCGGGTCGTAGCCACCGGCCACCACGAGGATCCACCGTCCGGTTGACCAAGGTTGGGTGCTATGAACCGCCACGGCGCCGATACGCAAGTGATGCTGACCCAGACTGGTCATCACCAACTTCGTCCCCTCACCTTGGTGGGCGAAGGCGTCTGCGATCGAAAGAGAGAAAAGGAAGGACCCTCTCGGCGTTCTTGGGTTCGGTCTGTCTGGGGGTTGGAAGACCATCATTGATACATCATACCAACAGAGGTTGAAGAACCCTAGTTCGACTATCCCAGTTTGGTACCCCAGTAAGGTCCTATAAGGTCACTTAACCTCTGTAGGTATCTTCTACATCCCATACTGGTGCCCGTTGAAGGATACTAAACCACCATGGAACGCCGATTTGCAAAAGTCAGTACTTAAGTCAAGACTGCTGGCCTTCCCCATTGTAAACGCTACATACAGAACAAGGTTCTCCAGATTCACCTTTCCAAAAATAAGAGAAAACTTCAACTGCAAATCCCAATGGCAACGCAATTTGGAGAGCTACCCGACGTGGTAACTTACCCCGTCGCACATGAACTTGACCCACCCCCATGGCACACCGCTTACCCCACGAATGTAAGAACTTACCCAATTTGGACAAAATGGCACACCGCTTCGAAACAAGCACTTTTTCTTCAAGATTGTTTCTAAACCTACACTATTCCATTGCGATTCAACCTTCTGCAAAGGTTATCTATGGGTTGCCGTGATCCAATCCCCATGACACCCCGATTCTGACCACATGTTGGTACCAGCTTTAAGTTTCTACCTGGAGTGCAAACAGCATGGAATTGTTCTTAAACGTCAAAAATATCTATGCGTTCTTGTGTGTATTCCTCTCCCAATCCCCATGGCACACCGCTTCGAAACAAGCACTTTCTCCTAGCCTAGATTGTTTCTAAACCTACTACACTATTCCATTGCGATTCAATCTTCTACACGTTGATGGGTTCTAAGGTTTCCTATGGGCTGAAATGATCCAACCCCCATGGCACACCGATTCTCACCGCTTCCGAGGGTTGGCCCTGTAAGCCCTTGGAGGGTTGGACATATGAGACCCACAATCCCAAGATGAAGGGGAACCTATGGGCTGCCTATAGAAACCTCTAGAAACAACCTATGGGTTGCCTGCCAACTTCCTTGCGGTAGGTCTTGTGCAATCAAAACACTGTGAACGCTGAGTAAAACAAGCCCATTGAATAAAACCATGCATTTAGAAAACATCTTCCAACACACTCTATCCTGCAAGGAAACGCTATAGTGTATCGACTTCCTGGTTTGCTCATCACCTTCTATCTGCTATTTGAAAAAAACACGTCTCGACTTCAACAACTGGCAGTATCAGTTCTTGTCCTGCCTTTCTTTCCCACATGGTCGACCTGGAACCACGTGCGCCGGTCGGTCTCGCCTTCCGTGGAGACATCTTCGATGCGGATCCGCCGGCCCACGGGGATCAGGGGCACCTGCCGGTCGGGCGCGAGCGGAGCCGGGGCACACTCATCCACATGGCACCCGGAACACGGGGAATGACCCATAAGCAGGTTTATTAGCTTATTGTATGTACGTAAAAAAGGAGCCTGGTATGTAAAATGGTTAAAAACCCGGATTCTTATGATCTTCCAAGGTATCGGTGTCCTTCTCAAAGCGGGTTGTTCCACCGCGATCTAATATATATATATATATATGTAGTATGTAGAGTACGCGGTGTACTTCAAATTGCTCTCCGAATACTTGGACATACTTGGACCTCCATGGATGACACATTTTCATACATGTTCTGGTTCATTCAACTGCCACCCCTGGAAGCACCTGGGCCACCTCTCCGGAGTAACCTTGTGGAACCGCCCATCATCCGAGTCTCCCCTTCCGCCTTGAAGCCACCGTACTTGGCCAGTTCGATTTGGCACAAGATCAAACACGTGGCGAAGGTCACAAACACGAACATCACCGCCACCCCGACCGCCTCAGTGGACGCTTTCTCCGCCCGGTGAGTTGAAGGGGATGTCACGCGAACTACGCGAACTGGACCTAGCTCATTGACTCATAGATCGTGCCTAGAGGCTATGTGGATGAGAATGAGGTGGCAGGCCTTTCTTTCTCCAAACATCGTGACAAAAAGGGTATAATTACCGACTGTTGCTGGTAATGGGCCAAAGTCTCGGTCTGACGAACGCTGAACTTCAGGTGCCTTGGCTGGTGCCCTCCTAGATTGAAACACCAGCCAAGGTGGGCGTTCAGTCTCAAGCTTGGGAGAATCCAGCCTGGCCATGCCTGACCGAATTGGGCCCACCCCGGGGAGGTTTGACCCGACCCTTCCAACCTTTGAATTGTTCGATTGACCTCCCACCTCGCGGCTTCGCCCCCCAAAAACTGCTGTCCCTTTGGCAGTCCCTTCAACTTCAACTATATCATATCTTTTGAAGTTTTGAAGCCTGCTGGATATTTTTTGGGGCGGGCGTTTCAAGTAGATGGGACGATGATCCCAACTTGACCCCATCCCAGCCGACGTCCAAGCCGCCCGCAAGGCGTTCGTCTGACAGGCGTTGCGTGCCGCATTGGGCACGTCCCAGGGCCAGTGACACTCCGTGCACGTCTGCGGCAGGCGAAGGGTGACGATTGCCGATCTGTTGGGAGACTTTGGCGCGTCCCAGGTACACAGGCTTTTACAGTCTTACTCTCTATCTATTATTCTATCGTTCTTTTTTTTGCTCCATTCTATGGAGAAGATGATTTTCAGAAGGATTCAATGGTGTGACTCTTGAGGACCATAACCCCCCAATTTGAATTGGACATCCTCTTCATATGTGGGGGAAATAAGATCCAGAGTCTACATGGCCCAACGAACACATCACATGAAAGTGGAGTTCACCCCCTGTTCGTACAGGGAAGTAGTCTTCCTGGCAGGGGCCCATGCCATCCACGTGACCATGTGATGTGAGTCAGTCTGAGTGTATCCCGTCATATCGGGCCGGGGTGCCGTACGACGGCACCACGGTGCCTGTGATATGGCGGACATCAAACACCTCAAGGATCACCCAAGTGTATCCCAACAAGTGTTTTGCGAAGCTCTGACATTTGATGGCTGAAATCCACTTCCCTCAATGCAACCTCTGCCAATTCCAAGAGCAGGTGCGTTTCGGGGGACTGCAGTCTTGGGCCCCAGACGTGTGGTTGAGTCGGCGAGCCGTTCAGAGTCCAACATCCGAAGTCCAACGAGTTACCCAAACAGATTGACTTCCTCAATCTCTCCACTGAGGAAAGTGGGGAACGCGGTCAACTCTTTTTCTTCTAAATATCATATCTCTCTCTCGTCCCCCCCCTCCCTCTCTCTCTCTCTGTCTCTGTCTCTCTCTCTCTCTCTGTGTGTCTCTCTATCTTTCGAGCCAGACTTGGAGGCACATTTGATACATCCTCAAAGGTCAACCCACACAAATTTATCACCCTCAACATGGTCGATGCATCCTTATTGGACGTATCCCCAGCCAAACGCCGAGCTTCTCCGCCCCCGGACTCGAAACGCCTGGCCCAGGCTATAGGTCCCTCCTGCAGCAGTGTGGGTCCCCGGTCTCCGGACTGGTCTCATCAATACCTAGACGAAATAAACCACTGTAGTGGTCCCAAAGTAGATAGAATCGGTTTCCAATACATTTTTGGTGTGGATCTAAGCATTTCCAAATTTCCACCTATTTGGGGGTCCATGTGCTAACTGTTACCCCCCTTGTGGGACACGCCTATTCCTCTTGCTGAATCATGGACGACTCATCCTTTAACACGCGGATGTGGGACTCGCCATGCTGGAACACCAAAGAACTCACCAACGAAGCAGTCAAAGCCCGAGCTAAAGCACTTAAGACACATGCATTTTTGAAAGGATTTTCCACCAAATGAGGAGCTTCTGGATTTCTGGAGTGAACATCCACTCATACAAAAAGGACCAAAGCAATTCATAGGGTCTGAGGCCAGCAAGAGAGGTGAATGGATTCTGGCCTGGCGCAGCACAGCATGCTAATTGATGAACAGGAGGAAGGGCCTCCCCATAACAGAATTCCACCCCTTTTGGCCGAGGCGCTCGGACACAGAACTTCCACCTTCCCCACCGGCTGCCAGTGGTCCTAGGTGAGGAAAGTACAAGTGTTCGTCCCGAGGCATGAGGTCCCAACTCGGGTCCGGTTGGACCTCGTGCTTGAGGTTTCCACAGGTGACGGTGAGGAAGTCGGGGTCCCATGATGACGAAGTGCAAGTTGGGTTAAGACGACTTTAAGACTCGCACCTTTGTTTTAAGCGAGCACGTCTCCACAACTACCTGCTTACCACTTCAGGGGCCCCAACAGCAAGCCAGCTTTGTGGAGTTCGTGGTGGCTCACTCCAAACTCTCAAGACCAGCATGTTCGGGACCTGGTAGCTTGGTCTTCTCTGGAGTTGAGCCCAAGATCTGACTCCAAAACAGCCGAGCGTGGCTGGAAAATAGAGGTTTTCAATGGTTTCCACCTGTGACAACTTTGGGAAGACCATGGAAGACCAATTCACCCCAAAGGTTAAAAATGGTCCACTGACTGGGTGGCCCTTCACCAGGCGCCTGCACACCTATCCTCCGACCGAACTCCCACCATGGTCCTGCGGTCCAAGGCGCTGGATGACTACAATTGGCTCCATCTCCTTTGCCTGAAGCGATGAGTGGGTAGTGCTAACCGATTTCGGGAAGACCTTCGCGCTGTGCCTACTCCCAAGTCCCAATCCGTTTTGGGTCTGCTTTGGTGCAATTCAGGCCGGTGACTGTTGCATCAGGCCCGGAATAGGTCAAAAACAGGGCACTTGACCCCCTCCATCAGAACCAAAACACACCAACTGCATGGACCATAACGCAACAAAACCACCTAAACCTCCAAAAATGCCACCAGAACCTCCAAAAAGCACCTAAACCTCCAAAAACGCCCCCAGAACCTCTTTCCGTTTTTAGAACCAAAACATCTTCCAGACCAACCCCCCCCACTGCATCCGAGGGGCGACACCAACACAAATAGTAGCCACCCGGAGGGATGCCGGTCACCTGCGGGGCGAGGAGGAGAACAGGGGCCTCCCTTCATATGGATGGCCTCACTTCTCGGTGTGGGGACATCGGACATCTTCATATGCTACTTCACCACTTCTATCAAGCTTGTTGTGGGCGTAGTACTGGGCGTAGCACTCTGCAATTTTTCAGCACCTCCACGATAAGAAAAGGACTGAAGAAGGGTCGGGGACCGAACTCCAGAAGAAAACAGTGAGATCTCTCTGAGCTCCCAATGGATCCAATTGAGTTGAGACCCCCAAACCCCTTCCCACGGATTCACCACGGGAGCTCGCTCCGTTTGGAGGCGTTGAGGCTCCACATGTGAGATGATCGATTGGTGGAGCAGCTGCAAAAGCGACCCTTTTTGAGGGTCCCACCCTCTCAAATGCAGGTGGTCCTACTTCAGCCCTCGCAAACCCTTGGATGGAAACCTTCCTGTGTTCCACAGCTAGGCCTCGAAACTCGAGGTTTTAGAAAACGCCCTTCCCGCCCTTTTGGGGGTCGGCTGACGCCAACGCAGACAGTGAAACCTCTGTGTTTCGCAGCTCGCCTGCCCGAAGCGATAGAAATACCCGTCATCCGACGTGGTGGACGAGACGTTCGCTGTGTTGCAGGCCTGCGAGCTTTCGTCAAGTGCGGGGTCCGGCCGCTTTCGTCCGGGATTCGACCCGATTGAAACTCTGGTTGGGGAAAGGTCCCCACCCCGAACAATCGGGGCAGTGTAGGGAAATCTACCATGGGTGTGGAGGTTCGGAGATGACTGGACCTGTCGGAATTCATCGCTTCAAATGGGGAGTCTGTGGGGAACTACCTGCCTCTGAGAGGCTTTGGGAGGTCATGCGGGGTGGGAGCTTGATGGAGAATGTCTGGAAAAGAAAGAGACTCTGTGGAACTCACATTGGACTTTCGGTGCCCCAAAGGTTTGTCTCACCCGGAGTCAGGGAGAATCCCCCAATTTCAAAGTAATATGGGAGAGGATCATCATGTAGACTCTCGATGAACACCCGCCCCATTTGGATTGAGAAAGCTCTTCACACATGGAGGGTTGATTAATCAATCTACATGAATGGGGCAAGCTTCGAAGCATTCTTCTCTATTTCCCTCATCGCGTGATCGAAGCTCGGCACGTTTTCCACCCCAACTCCTCCAGACTTTACAACAGAACTGAACTTGTCAGCTTGGACACCGCACCACCACCCCACGTTCAGCTTGAATTCCACTGACCGTCTCAGTTCGATCCTCCGAAAAGCCACGAACTCGTCGCGGCGGCTTCAGACGCTGCCACCCGATTTTGCCACAAGAAATGCATAGAAAAACCTCTCTCCTCCACAAACTGCCCCCCAAAAAAACTCCGCATGTCGGCTCCTTCTGACCACCTGGCACCCGGCACCGCTCCCCGTCCCCGTCTGCGGCAGCTCACCTCTTGTAGCGCCAGCTGGTCCCCCGGCGCCAGGTTCGCACCGGTGATGTTGGTCTGATCCGCTTCGCCCCATCCCCCGAACAGGTGCCAAGTACCGGACCGAGCGACCGTACGGGACGCTCTGTTGGGACCTTTTAGGGAGGCGCAGTATATAGACGCGGTGTTTGGGTGTGTGCCTTGTAGCAGTTCATAGCAGTTCTTTGTTCTTCATTGATATTGATCGTGCTTGTATTCATTGATGGCCTTGAAACAGAAGTGACCAGGTTTTACTCCTTATTTTTGGACCCTGGAAGAATTCCGATATATAGGGCTTTCTGAAGTGTTGGGACTCTCTTTCTGACGATTCTTCGGCCCAGAGCCCATGGATAAGACGAGACCTAAAGGAAAGCACACATTGGAGATAAGAGTGGCCTCGGAAACCAGGAAATCAGGTACATGTGCATGCAAGACATTAATCATTAGTACATACTGAATGCCACTGGCCTTGCCGAGACCTTAGGGAAAAACTGCTCGCCGAGTAGAACAAGCAGTATGCAGCGGGATTCAACCATCTTCCAACAATATCATAGTTCGAAGTTCAAATAACTAAAGCTCAAGTTCTAACAACTATGCGTGACTGCAGAGTGCAAACAAAGAGGATTGCACCACCATGAACAACCATGAAAGCAAACAACAGCGAGAACAACAGGCAACCAGTTGAGCAGCTATGTTTCCACCGCTCCTCTGGGACCCCGGTGGCCCCTGCGTTCTACAAAACAAACACCAAGCAACGTCTCAAAACGAAGCAACGTCTCTGGCTGAAACAAAGGCACCCGATGCAGCTCCCGAGCCCTCCGAGCCCAGCCCTGCGCCGATTCAGCGCTCGCGCCTCATAGAGCTCGCCCAAGGTCAGTTGCTGATCGGCTTGCACGTTGGGCCCTTCCATCTCAAAAAGCCCTGCAGCGACACGAGACGTGTGCGACACCCACGGCTGCGAGAGACGCGGAAGGACACGGTGCTTGAAACAACACGTTTTTCCTGGCGGAAGGGTCCAGGGGTGGCCAAGGAGCTGATGTGATGGTCTGGGCATGTCTGATGACGTGTGTTTTTTTGAGGTTGGTGAGTCAAACTCACCTCAAGGAGGTTACAGTCAATTGGGATGACTGATGATCATTCTGCCAGGGGATGCCTAAACAACATCCAAACAATCCAAAACACTTCTCTACACCACCTGGAGTTCTCATGGTTTCGGTGGATGGCATGGCGGAAAGATGACGATCTTCCTTTTTTCGCATCATTAAACATAGTGACTAGTGCCATCCACGTAACCATGATGATCCCACGGGGCGTGTGTATAGATGAATATCGTATGTTAATTCCCTTCATAGGTCCCTCCAACGGGCTCCCGGAATGTAAAATAAAGCACCCAAATTGACTTTCGATCCTGCCATCCGACCCTCCACGAAACCGGTGAATTGGAGCTGTTCGCAGGAAGAACGGGTCGTGCCTGTGAGATCCTGGATTCTCTTGGTAGCGTTTGAACATCAATTGGTAGCATGGAGGTTCCAAGGTAGGATCCAAGAAGCCATAAGACGCCGCTTCATTGAAACTAGTGTTTTTTCACGAGCACGAACAGAGATTGAACGTCTCCCCGCTTCTTAAAGAGGATCTGGCACAATACAATCCCCAAAGCCAGAAGTTAAACCGATTTATGCATTTGAGTGGGTGGCTCATGATGGCTCTTTGTCGGGCACATCCCCTCCAGATGAGCCGGTCGGATTAGGATTTGGAGCCTGAACAGGCTGAATAGGCGAACATCTTCTGTCAATTCTTCAGGAGTGCCAGTGGAGATGAGCCCTCAAACAATCCAATATCAGCCCAAACGAATTTCCCAGTAGCAGCCCAGATGACATATTTCAGCTATTGGCTGAAATATGTCAATCCAGTCTCATCCCAGCAAAGGACTGGTTCATCTGGTCCTCTTCTTTGGTCTCGAGTCAGCCACAGAGTAGGAGCCACCAAGTAGGACTCAGCGCCTGCGTCCACCACAAAATTCTCGAGAAACAGGCAATTTTGTCCTCGCGGCAGCGGCTTTTTTAAAGAATGGGCTGACAAACCAATGCAACAACACATTTTATACATCGACATGTTCCCCAAATCCCACAAGATGATGCTTCTCGTGGCAGTTAGGTCTTCGTTTCAAACAACTGCATGATGTCTATCACATCAAGTGCTGAAGAAATCCGAACCCAAAACCACCCAAACCAAACCAAAAACCGCACCATCCGGCAAACGGCAGTTCGGGGCCCCCCAAAGCCAACTGAACCAAACCATCCGGCTCAGTGCGGCTGAACTCCTGGACCTCCAGAGCACCAGCAAAGGTGGAAGAGCCCGGGGCCCGCCAATGCCATCTCCTGAAGCACACGGACTCGCAACCCGCGACCCGTTTTGGTTTTGAGTCGGGTTCTGAGGACTCAATCCTGGCCTAGGTTCCAATTCCTCTGAAAGGCTTCAGGAGTCCTCAAAAGTCCCTATAGGGTTTTGAGGGGTTGAACGGAAGCGTCTGATTGGAGCAAACGAACGACGTGCGCTGCTTTAACCACTTGACACTTCATAATCCTGACCCTTTCAGTTTAACTTCTTCCACCGAACTCCTTGTTGGAATATGGTTTTGTCTCCCTTTTCCACTCTTTCCCCCCAGGGTGTAACACTCCAGACTCCATCATCAACCTCGCCTGTGGATTCTGCATGGTCATCCAGGTTCCAGGAGATAAACCTCAAATCGCGTGACCAAAGCACCCGAACACCGGCGACATGGCACAAAGAGTCTCTGGATGGACGGGTTGAGAGGATGGTGCAGGCCACCCCTCTGAACCCTTGTGAGGTGCGCCAGGCCAGAGTGATTGGGATTTGATTGACCAAGCCAAAATCTCCTGCGGAATTTTGAAGCTCGAAGGTCCAGTTTGACATCCCCTAAGCCTAAACGTGCATGCCCGTGGCACGAAGCAGTGATGCAAAACACCCGGCAACGCAGTCCGCTGTGCCCGGCGCGGTGCTGCGACAAGATACTACGGTCAAGAGTGCCAAAGCCACCCAAGAGGAGATGTTGATCCACGTAGGACTCCACCTGCGTCAGGAGACGTGAGAGGGACGTTGACACCAGAGCCTGGTGGACACGGGTGCAAGGACACGGGTGCAAGCCACGCCGAAGACATGCATGGGACCTTAACGGCTCAGTGTACCCATAGCCCCCATGTATCCAAAGACATTGACCTATGTTCTGCTGGTAGTTCCTTCTTGTCATCTGAACCATGGCTGCATGATGCATGGAACAAGCTCGACTGGCACCCGCATCGCCACACCTTTTGTGGGCCCAGGCTTTTGACATCGTCTATTTCCTTGCTTGAAGAGATGGCTGTGGGTCATGGCTGGGAGACCAACTGGTTGATCCACCTGCGTGTCGGTCGTTCGCGGCAAATGGTCCACTGCTCGGGCTCCCTGTGCCATGGCCCTCATGACTAGCACCCACTAGGGCTGTCTGCGGCGCTGGCGCCAGTGGTCAGTGGGTCAAACAAAAAGGCATCAACCTTCCCACTGGCCCGCCAAGCGGTAGCGGAAAGAGTCCCTGTACATAAAGGAAAACGCGGTGGACATTCTGAAACTATTGAAACTCCTCTTCGATCACCTCCACAATTAACTCACAGCATGCTAACCACCAGCAGCAGCCACAACATTGGAGAACACACCTGGTCCCGATGAACAACCCCGCTCGCAGCACCCACGTGACCCCAGCCAGACGCAGGGTCGCAGGGTCGCCGCGCGTGTCGCCGCGCGCCTCTGTGCCGTTGGTCTCCAGGGTGGGACCTGAATCGAAGCCGACCGCCCTTCAGGTAGAATGCTCTCGGGGCCCGACACCCCTCGTCTCGCGACTCAGATCGACTCAGATCTGATTTTCACAGCTGGGTTTTGAAGGGATTTCCCCATGGGTGTTGAAGGGTTGCAGTTGCTTTAGCCGAATGTGTTTTCTTGTGATCTCCGGTCGCCCGCTCTGGACCAATTCTGTGGCCTCGCGTTTTGAGAGATGGCGTAAAGAAAGAAAACGCATAGTTACTTCCCCACTCATGTAGACGGTTGATCAATCAAACACTTACGTCTCCAGAATGGTTTTACATCTCCAGCTGGAAGACTTTATTCATCAACCGCCTACAGGGCCTACATCTGTCACCACCAGCCAGCCTTGCAGAATAGCCAGGGCTGCTTTGATACCAAGATGCATGCGTGAAGGACGTGAACAAACTGAACGGGTAGCCAGCTCAAGCCTTCGCCCAGCAATTGCCTTGCACTGCGCAAAATGGTCTCGCCGTCTCGCCCAAAACAAGGCAACTCTCGGCTTTACTTGGGAATAATCAATAAACATCACCTCAAGTAAAAGCAAGTTGGCCAGCCCTGATCCTTGTACCTTTTGCAAAAGCTATCAGATGTCAACTTGTCCCGTGCAAGGGGTGGACGAAAAAAACGGAACAGCATGATCAGTTGAACAAACCACCGCACCGAACGAAGAAAAGCCTCTTCCCCGGCACGGTGCTCACATCCTTTTCCAATTGAGGAGAGCCAAGCAACACATTTCAATCTCCCATGCACTCTTGAGAGCTTCCGTCATACTTAATGCAGCCCTCAAGAACAACATAGCCATTCAATAGCAGAAGTTGCAGCCACAGGGCACTGAGCAAGTTTGCCAACCCATCGTGCAGGACACGAAATTCTGTGGCGTTGGCCCATTGATCCTCGGTGTCCACGGGAGAACCCGTGGCGCGGACGAGAACTCTTCAGATATGTCGGTGGTGGCTGTCCACCCGCGCGCGCGTCGGGTTCGGTTTCACCCCCGTGACGATGTCGGACCTCGCGACGTGGTGACTAAAAGTGCCATGCACCCATCGCGGTTCACGACGGGTGCATAAAGAGATCATTCATCTGGGAAACCTGGAGTGAACTGACGATGCTGACACCCAACCAAAGGATACAAGTGGGATCTGTAAAGTGGCTTGGAGAATTTCACCAATTTCATCTAACTACAGCTAGCTGCAGCTAGTACTCCGGCCACTGGTGCGCCAGCAAAGGCACTTGCTAGAGTGCCTCCCCCCCAGCTCTCATGAGCTCCAGCTCCCCATCCAGCTCGAGCCCAGCAGTCCCCCGACTCCCCTCGCCGGAGCTCATGACTGCGGTGATGGCTTGTGCTGCTGGGGACGGTCCGAAGCCTGGAGATGGACCAGGGAGACCGAACGAAGGCGGAGACCGGTGTCCCCGAACCGGTGTCCAGACCGGTCTCCGAGGTCGGCGCCATGGGTTGAACCATGGTTGAAGCGAGGTCTCCGATTGGAGTGGTCATGAGGTCGTTTTCACCGGAAATCCGGCCACCTCCTGAAAGTGATTCATCATCTCGAGCACTAGCGCAACGGTCAGTCACCAGTCACCGGCGTTGACCCAACACGGCTACGCCCATCGACCGATTCGACCCCAAACAAAAGAGTCCGTAGAAAGGTGGAAATCACATGACATCGCCAAATCCGGACCCGAAACCGAAAAAAAACACTATATCGAAGTGCTAAAAGATGCACCCCTTGGAAACGAAACAACCAGAAACACATGGTTGTTTTGATATGGCAGTTGAAATCCTTTGCATCGAAGATGGCTGTTTGGGGAAACATTCATTTGTTTGTTTGGTTTCCCAGGCGCTTCACATCCACTCACCTTTTTTTGGGGTCTTTATGAAGAAAACCCTGGCACCCCAAAGGGGTCCTTCTTTGTATGCCAAGCTGTGGCTGTTGGAAGTGACAACTTCCCGGACGACCGCAAGCAATCTGCCGGGCAGCACCGACATGCAAACCTCAGGCCGAGCGCTGCCGAGCGTTCGCCGCGCGGCGCCCGGAGCGACGTGCGCCAAGCACCACGCGGGCGCAGGCGTGGTTGGAGGATTCTCCGATTCAAACCATTCAGGAGCAAACAAGGCAGCGGAACACATGGCACTCTGGTGATTCTCTGTTCTAAAGCCTGCCGCATATCAACTGACTTCCTTCAGTCCCAGAAGTCCAGTTCGGCGATGCTCTACCCCGTTCAGTCACTCGGACGACCAAAACATTCCCAGCACATTCGCACACATCTCTTCAGTCTGCGACCGCCGGTCCGACCAAGTGCGCCCGCCATGATCTCCACATGCCAAGATACCAAAGCCCGGGCTCCATGTGAAGAAGCTTGGCTGCCTCCAGGGTGACTTCATGGCTCGTCACCTCGTCCGCGTTAGTTTAGATGTGCCAAGCGAGTCCCGTCTTGGAGCTGGGGTGAGCAAAACGGGGAGTGTGGGTGTTTTCAGCAACACAGAAGCACCAAAGGTACTTTTGCCCCAAATAGTGGGAGCTACTGGAGTTCCTACTTCAAGTATACCAGGATCATCCTGTCTGGGTGTCCTACTTATAGGTCTCCATTGGGCACCCGTTGGAAGTGCTAGGTAGGTGCTTGTGTGGGCTTTGGAGCTTGGGAGCTAGCGCCCTGCAGGATGCCGCTGCAGGGTGTTGCTGCGAACTGTCTATGCCAGTGGAGGCTGGATGCAGCATGCCCCTGCTACTCCCCACAAATACCTTTTGCTGTCTGGGGTCTATGCTGGCGAAAACAGATTTAAGCATACCTCGAGCTGAAGAAGTGTCCGGTGCTGTCCGGTGGATTCAGGTCTTTTGGAACTCACCAGAGGCAACCCTCCTCCATTGACAAGACATCAATGCAACTTCAGGATCTCACAGTGACTCTAAGATGTCTGTATAGATGTTCCATATATGTTCCATCTACAAGCCACCTGAAGCCACATGGGACATCCGCGCGGCTCGGCTCGACGCGAAAACCGGGGAGAGCCAGATCCGGCTCCCCCCATCGCTGTGTTGGGCGGAAGGTCCTGGACTTTGGGTTGAGTAGGGTGAAAAGGGTGAAGGTCTGCTGCCTGAAGCTGCCATAGGTAGGAGGCAGCTTCAGGTGGTAACCAAGACGGTTTCAACGGAATTCATGGATGTAAGTGGTGTACGACAAAAGCTTCTCTGATGGACATTTGAAGACGGCACCCTCCATCCAACAATCAATACCGATGGATGACACGTTTTGAAACACCAAAGCAGGCTGGCGTTCAGCTGAGTTTAGCCGAGGGGCATTAAACTCGTTCATCCTGCAGGTTAGAGCCGTGCAACGCCTGAGGCCAGTGCGAGTGAGGTCAGGGCAGGGCAGGGCTGCAGCCAGATTGACGAGCAATACAACTTTGGGCATCAGATGTGAACACTGATGTGAACTAATCAACGATTTCCCCACATTTTGTGGTAGGTTTGGGCCTGTAACCAAACACTCGTGTGGTGATTCCCTGAACTCGAAGATAGCATGTATTTAGGTCAATTCTTGACCCGAGCACGCCGAGCAGTGTCGAAAATCCTCCTCGCGGAGCCAAACTCATCCAACATCTATTTGTTTGATGGGTTATGTTGGTACGTCAGCCCATTCATCCGAATCAGAATTCTCCGAAACCGGGTCACGACCTTTGGATCCAAACACTCCGCCTCCCACTCTGCCCACCAAAACACCGAACCCAAAAGCCACTCTTGACTTCATGTCTGGCGGTGAAGTTCGCTCCATTCCAAACTGGGTGATCCCAACTGCTGGAGGCTGATGTTGGTGCCAGGCTCGAAATGCAGATCGGTGAAGTTGAATTCGCACTCCTCGACTTTCCGAGCTCTGCGGCCAGCGACGCGACGAGGACGAGGAGGACGGCCGGAGGACGAGGACGGCCGGGGTTCGCGGAAAAGACGAGAGGGGGGGAACATGGACGACGAGAGCTTACACGGGAGCTGTTTTTGCGGCCTAGAAGTCACCTCCACAACGATCTAGCCCCAGGATCTGAAGAACGATCTAGAGTTCTTCCCAATTTCTGGAACTTCTCCATGACCTAAACCCAGGTGATCCGAGTCAGGCTTTCTGAATCCGTTTGCGAAACGCATCCAAGCCGCTGCACCTAAGTTGCACGGCGTGACACCAGCTCCTGAGCTCGTCGGACTTCGGTGCAACGAGTTCTTCGTTCGGCGTCGCAACTGGCTGAGCGCAGCGGTAAACCGCACAGCTGCATCACATGACACAATTCCTTCACCTGGAGGCTCCAGTGGTACCTAAAAATAGTCAATTATGGTTGTTTGTTTGCTTGTCGTGTTTTTTATTTAATCCCCTTCTTCGATGTGTTAGATTCCTTTTTTCTTGTTTCTTGGCGCCCATGTCCCCCCCCGCAAACGTCCGCCAAACCGCCCGTCGCCGCACCTGTGTCCCCGCCATCTTGCAAATAGATTTCGATCTTGTCTGGCGGCCGGGGGGCGATCGACGGCCTTTCGACGGCGCCGTCAACTGATACGCCAGGTGATCTCCCACTTCGAATCGGGACTCCCGGCCGTTGCTTAGGGTGGAGCAGACATGTTTTCGATCGTTTTCAAGCCGCTTTTTCTGGCTAAAAAAGGGGGAAAAACCATCCTTCCCCCACAACAAAACGGTGACTGGTGCAGGTTCTCCACATGTCAATGTGTAGTGGCAAAGCCGCCACCAGTTTCAGGCTCCGAACTCCGACGGACAGTCGGCTCAGTCGACTCCGAACTACGGGACCCAACTCCTCCGGAAGCAACCCAGGTAACCCAACCATCCACTAACTGGTCAGGACTGGGGAGTCCAAGTCATTCAAAAGTCGGGGACTCGAATGGTGCTCTCTTCTTAACCTGTGGCAGGACTGAGGCTCGTGTGCTTGGAAAGAAGTCTTGCAGGCCAATGGCTTTCGGGATCACTTCGTGTGAATGTGTTGGCGGACTTTTCTTTCACCTGTTCCAATGAGTGCAGGCTGACCAAAAGGAAAAAGCACACAGGAATCAATCAAAAAGCATACCATAAATGAGGAAACACCGGAAGTGCCCTCCAAAGATTGGTGCAGCGAAGGCATATCTTCCAGAGCCTGTCGTCAGCTTGGCGGTGCTGTGCGGGGCGTTGTTGATCGTGAAGCAAAGGTTTTCAATGTCTTCCTGAGCTGAAGGGCACCTGAACGGCGCCTCACAGTGCTCCCCGGCCAATGGTGGTCCTAAGTGATTTCCTTCCCTACCTGTCTTCCCAATCGCTTCATCGCATCTGTTGGATATCATTTCTTTGTCCTTTGAAGCGGTGTAGTAGCTCAACGAGGGGGAAGCAAGACACTCAGGTGATCCAGAAGACGCATACCTCTTCGCCCCCACAGATCTCTCTGACCGAGGTGTTCGCGACCCATCACTCTGCTCGGCACTCTACTCGGGGCCGGAGCGTCGGAGTCGGCATCCGGCCAGATGATCACCGCGCTCTGCCACGGGTATGGTGCCTCTGTATCTTTACCTTGGCGCCGAGGATGCCTCCGTCCGTCGCTTGTTCCGTTCGTAGCGATGCCAGGAGCTCCGTTCGTAGCATCCTCTGTTCTTTTTAAAGGAATAATAACATCTCTTCAAAAAGAACACGTTGAAGTAAACAGGAGTTCATGGACAGGTATATAGTGTATTGCCCGGCTTTGCTCTGGTGGGTGGATTGTAGCATTACCCACCACCTGTTGACAGGGTTAAAGTGACAGTCAACATGCAACAAAAACATAATACGACCAGTGCCATGATGAGCCAGGATGGCCAAAAGAATCAAAAGAACTCTCATCAAATGGGTCTGTATTAAAGTAGGGAGCCCCAGTGCCAGTTCGACCTGTGCGCCGGAAGAAGGAAAATGGACCAGTCTACCGATTCAACTGCGCACCCAAATCAAGATCCTCCATGTCCCATCTCCTTCAGGTGCTCGCCGAGTTCAATAAACTCATCCAAGTAGCTGAGGCTGTAGAGAATACAGCGACTGGCACAGCTGGATGGATGGATGCACACCAGCCAAAAAACAATCTGGTGACTCATGGTCAGCGGTTTCAACCATAAGGATTGGTCATTAAAAACATCGGTGTTCCATGAAGAATGCATAAACTTTCCTGGGCTCTTTGGTATTTCTATGTAATTCTATGTCTTGGGTAATGTCCCATTGCCAGTAATAGTTTTTGAATGTTGTTGGTGATCGTTAGCAATGGCCTTTCACCCCCAAATAGTACAAATATTGCCAATATATTGCCAATATTGTACTGACTGTTGCTGGTAATGGGACACACCCCATCTATATCCATGTTGGATCTTCGACAGAAAAGCTTGCACCTCGACGACCATCACGGATCTGACGGGCATCGGCTCCAACAAAAGATAGCTGCGATCATTTAATGCAAACTTGAAGGAATCCATCACGTGATGGATTCCTTCTGACTTCTTCATGAAAAAACACCATGACCTTTCAAAGAAGGATCGAAGAACTCCTCGAAAACAGCCAGGGACCGCTTCCCTCCGCTTTCGGTATCCGCGACCCGGGCCTCTCGTTTTCCCCATCCTTCCGAGACGGTGAGGTCTTTGGATGGAGCATTGCTCTTTGGGTTTCAATATGTTTTCCATGCCCCAGGAAGAGCATGGGCTTAGGGAAAATGGGGTTGGGTGAGGAGATGACACTACCTGAGCTGCGGTTTCATTTGATAATATCGGGTCACTGGTAGACCTCCCAGGGCAGGAGGCAGGTAAAGGTTTGGGACCGGAGGAAGGCAAGTGGCGGGTCAGAATGTTTTCACCACTTCCAGGATAACTTGGATTTGCTTGAGGAACCTGGAAGAAGTAAAAGCACATTCACCAGAAGGGGATTGATTTACCTATAGTCTATAGTGAAAATAAAGATCACCTTAAGCAAAACCAGGAGAACTCATGTCGCGACGTCAAATGTTCGGATCTACACCACCATGCAGTTGATGGACACTCCATGCCATACAACTGATGATGCACTCTTCATCGTTTCATCGTTCCCTAGAGAGGTAGCAGCCTATATAGTCATCAACTGTATATATATAATTATATATATACATATACCTAGAACCTGAATGACCGCTATTTTGGACCACCAACCACCCAAAATATGGCCTTTTCCTATCAAAACAGGGGTCAGTTGGGTTCCAAGTATATATAAGTAAATAAACGTTGTTATATAGCAAGCTCCTCCGCACCGAACAAGTACCACGACTTCATGATGTCCAATTTCTCACTCTCACTCGAACAACTTGGGGGACATGGACCATCTCACCTTTTTCTCCCATGGCCAAACGCAAAAAGACACCCGGTTGCCAACCTGAATTCCACTCTCTCCCCTTCGCCGCCCTATCGCGCAGCTCCAAAGGCAACAAGGTGGTCACCGCGTCCTCCCACACCACAGGCTCGTTGGCGGGGAAGAACGTGTAGTCCACACCAGGGGTGGCGAAGTTGTCCTGGCGGATGACCAGGATGTGTTTTTCTTTTTTCTCACACGTTCTTTTCTTTTGAATTAGTATTTTTTGGCTTCAAGCAGTGGGCAGTGGCAGTTCCTGTGGTGTGTTGTCATCTGGCGGGGAGTTAAGTTCTCTCCAGAAACATCGAGAAGACATCACATCTGCCAACAAAAAGGCTTAGCTAGCTTAGCTCTTTCCTCACTTCAACTAACTAATAATGTTTGCTCAACAGACGTCAACATGTGTCAACTGCTTTCCTGTTCTCTCCTTCCTCCCACGCCGGATTCAAGGCAAAACCCATGAACATCCACCCTCCGCCGGCCCTCCGCCGGGCCCTCCGCCGTCCTCCCAACCCCGAACGCAATCCATGGTCACCTGGGGGCTCGGGACCGGACTCTCAGCCCGGACCCGGACGGCGTTCTGCGTGCTTCGTCGTCTTCGGATGAGTCGTCCACCGTGGTGTGGGGATCCACGCATCGGCACATGACCCTGGGTCACCACCACCTGCCACGGTTCAGTTGGCAGTCTGCCGCCATTGTCGGAGACCTGTAGAGTCAGGGACTGGTGGGTCACCACCTTCGGCGATCGCGGGGAAATGAATCTGCCACCTTTCACCCCAACATCTCCTCAGCGCTATTTAGTGCGCAGTTGGAGGCGTTGAGGGTTGGATGCATTCCGCAGATGGGGAGAGGTCAAGAGCAGTGAGACGAAGAGAGCCTATCTTTGAGCGTTTGCTTTGTTTTCTCTCCTAACCGCCCACGGGCTTCGTGTTGCTGTGTCAGGATGGATTCTTCCTTCTTCCCCCCAAACTCCTCCGATGTCCGATGCCTCCTTTCAAGCAAAAAAAGGAAATGTCAGAAATCAAAGGAGTATTTTTTGGGGAGACGTCAAACATCTTCTGATGCCTTCCGACCTGTCCAACCTCCCCCCGCTCCCACCACTCCACCAGCCCAAACAGCTCCAAGGGGCCGTTACGCTTGCGACACCGCTGGAACCGCCCAGGCGTTCGGCGAAGGCCAAGCATTGAGGACTGGGAGGGAAGCCTGGCGCTGCGTTTTGGGAGTTGGGCCACATGTTTCGGGGCTATATGATGATATAGGTGCCCCAAGTAAAAATGATACGACTGTGTGGGTTTTCAAGAGCGGTGTTGATCGAACATCTGAGACCAGGGGGTGTACAGTTTATAAGTCTTTAAAGCGATCTCCAAAAAAAGGACGGACTTCATAGGGCGCTGGGGTTTTCTTGACTTCAGTCTTCCACACATACGGGCCGCAAGAATCATCGACGAACACCAATGACTGGTTGTTGGGGTGCCCACCCACCTGACAAAGTGCGCGTGAACATTCCAAGAGGCAGTTATTAAGTCTGCAACGTCTTGAACATCTGGACACATACCAACCAGGATTGCTCGGTGATGCCCCTTTTTTTGTGCTTATCATGTGTTCTTCTCACCCTCCACTGCCCTCCCACCTCGCCCTTTTTAAAGGCTTGCCCGGCGGGTTGGACCACTTTCCCCGCCTTCTTTCACCTTGCTGATGGTGGTGAAGTCCATGTGCAAGCCTGGTGAAGAGACCGTGGGAACCCGATCGGAGGTGCAGCCGGTCTTGGCAGTCCCCCCCCAGGAGTGCTGGTTGCGGACCGGTTTCGAAGGGAGAAAGACCAGCGACGGGAACGGAGTGTTCCCTGCTCCGGCCCTTCTCTTTGGGCCAAGTGGAGGAAATACACAAATCACAAGCGACCGCCTAAGTTCAGCATGGCGGGGCAATGAACACTTCATGTTCCGGAATGCTTAAGGGATCCTTTTCACCGTGACCTCCTCGTCCGATCGGTCAGGACGGCAGGCGCCTGAGGTGAAGGACAAGACTCCGCCGTCCTCATCGGGTAGAATCCAAACCTGCAGGGACGGCGGACTAGGGCGGACGAAGCTGTCAGCAAGCACAACTGCCAAGGGCTCGGACATGCTGTCGGATCCAACGAGCCCTTGGCAGCGCCAAAACCATCATAGCACGTCATGGCACATAATAACAGAAGAGTTCGGAAGCATTTGGAGAAGTGCAAGCCGGACTTTCCCCCAAGTCTCTGTGGCGGAGGTGTCATGCGGTTGGCTCGAACACTTCAGCGAACGACCACGACGGTGTCGGGACGGTGTCACTGCGAAGACGGCGTCCCCAAGCAACCCACCTGCAAGCGTTGAATGCCAACGCTTCCTGGAGTAGTGTCTGAAATGACCAGCTCGACCACCTGCCAGTTGAAGACACGTTTTCTCTTTTTGCGGCTTTGTCAAAGCTCAAAAGGATGCAGTAGGATTCCACCAAGGCCATGGGCTGTCAAAATAATAGCTCAACGTGCTGCTTGAAAGGCTTCAATCAACACATTCAGTGGACCCAGGTTTTAATCCGACTTATGAAGAGTACCCTTTCCGGCTCCATTTTTGTGTTCCAAAAGCGGAGCACAAGTGGAGCACAATGGGTTCCAACAACAAAATGCACCGCTGAAAGGGTGGGATTTGGAGGGAACACTGGCGTCGTCAGGCGTGTCTATAAACCACCGTTTCCATGGTGCTGGCATATGTGGCATGGTAGTAGTATGTGAATGTATGTGCGAGTAGTATATCGCCAGCAGATTTTCTAGCTTTTTTCAAACAGGGATCCATACAAGAGATCTTCGATGTGAGTGTACATGAATGTCCTCAGCTGTTTCCACCACGCGCGGTTTCTCAGCTGTGACCACGGCCTCAGTTGGTTGGTAGAAGTTGTCGTTCAGCACGGTGACTGCGATTGCTTTGGCCAACAGATCCCCATCCGGCCACCTTAGTCAAAGGCACGGGAAACCGATGACTGGTGCCTGTGGTCTTCATTGGATGTGGGCTCCAAGTAGGTCAAAAATTCGTCTAATTATATAAACTCGCCAGACACTTGTGCTATTCTGGCTTGCATGAACATTTTCTACTGGCATGATTGCCCAAACACGACTATTGGGACTGCCATCTTTGCCGATCAGTTGGGGTGGATGACTTCGGGTCAATGTAGGCATATATGCCACAAAGTGTCTGGGTTATTTCAGCTCGAGTCTTTATGAATGCGGCGATCCACGGCAGCCCCGACGACATCCATCTCATTCGACCGCCCCGGCAGGCCTCACGATCTGTGGCGAGAAGTTGTACCTGCTGCTGCTTGCATTACTCGCCTCAGCCACCGCAAGTACTGCACTGTCTCTTTTTTTTCCGCTGCTGTCGGTCTTCTGTCTTCTTCGCACTTGAACAACACTCGAACAACACAACGCTGCAAATGCCAGAAGAACAAGACACTGCGAATCCACCTGCAGCGAAGTCTGACAGAAGTCTGACCGTCTGATTCACCCGTCGTGTGCCGTTTGGGCCCAAACGAAGTCGGTCGGTCAATATCGACCCCACGAGCGAAAAGGAACCGATGAAAAACCCACCTGGGAACCATGGTTCTGGACACACAGATACTTGAGATTGAGCACGAAAGCCGCCAAATACCCCGTATAGAGGCTATAAGGAAACAATGCCTGAGTAGAATCAGATAGAAGATCTGATAGAACCAAGTATCACGTATGAAATGCAGCGGCGTTCGAACGTCCACATATGCACACATTTGAGCCCGTGGGTCCACCCCAAAATACTGACAAAACACGTACAAGGCGAACCGTCTCCAGTAGACCAAACTCTTGGAACTGTGACTCACGCCTACTGGCCAGCAAGATCGTCTCCGGACGTTTATTACCTTGATCCTCATGAGGCATGGTGTGCCCGTGCAGAGGTAATGGGTGGTTTTGCTTACTTCAGAGTCCCGGCTTGTTGTGCCCTCAACAAAGAGAAGAATTCCTCAGTTCCTCCACCTTCCTGCTCCAAAAGCATCGCCGAGCCACCACCAGGTCCACTGACACGGTGGCCTTTTGGCTGAGAGACCGAAGTGAGAACCCAGTCGAGGTCCCAGTCTGGACCTCTCCCCTCCACTGGACCGATTGGGTCTAGGGACTTGATCGTTTTGTTTGTTTTGATTGTGTTTCCTCCTCTATTGTTTCTTGACTGGAGCAGATTTGATCAGATTTTATGAGAGTTATAAATCATGTCAGAGCCGGACTTCACAGTTTGCTTCCCATGGTTTCCCTAGAATTCCCTAGACGTGTTTAGACTTACAAAGATGACATTTTTTGGCTGTCTGTCTGAAACAACTTCACCCCCCCCTTCAAGAACACTGGGCTAGGCACTGTTTGGCAGGGAGAACTCGCTATCACTTTCTCCTTGAGCTTTTCACTTTGGCAGCTCTGTCCCGCTCAGACGCGCCGCCCCGGCGTGATTCTACCCACTGATGTCAGTTCACTCACCCAGTCTACCTGTGCATGCCTGGACCTGATTCTAGAAAAACCGCACTCTATATCAATACTCTATTATGTGTATATGATGATCCTTTTCATCCATGGCCCCAACACAGTAAGACATGCCCACACCGGCGCACCTCGCCCCCTCGCGCACCCCCTCACCCCCGGCGCACCTCCAAGGCTCCAGTGGCGCCGCCCTCACGGGCCAAGGGAATCCCCACGGTGCCGCTGGTCTCCTTCACCGCCAAAGACGTCGCCTGCGCTCGAACCGAGACCTCGGTCGACCCTCCGGTGCTGTAAACGGCAGAGGAGGGGGGGGATGCCAGAAAGGGGTGGGGGTTGGGGACCACAGACTCTGCCAAAGCTTAGAGTGTGCATATACTCATACCCTGGGAGTCCAATTTACTTCAGTCTTGGGACTTCTAGGGGATTTATATACTGTGTAGATACATTATCCCGTGCAGAATTTAGACTGCGGGAGCCATATTCCCACCAACTATGGATGCATTTCGTTGATCGACGGGGACCCGGCTACCGCATTTTGCGACACACACCAACTCTTGACCAGCTCTTCCTTAGAACTCAAGAGAACTTGACAATGGAACATCAACAGCCATGGACCGCCAGCCATTCCGCAAAAAAAAACGCACAAACAGCTCCCCTGTGGCAAGAGCAGCAGCTCCGACTTTCTCCGTCGCTCGCCTGGAAGACTGCATGCCCCGGGCTTTGCGCTTGTGCATGCGCGAGGAGCAAAAGAAGAGCAATCCACACCTGCCGAAGTCGGAGCAAAGCAGGACAGGTCCGTCAGATCTTGGAGCTCAATTTGCACGGAGGAAAGAAGCACTGGTCACTACCACCTCAAGCTGTGGGTAGGACGGGGGATGGCTGGTGGCTTAGCCGGCTTAGCCTGAGTGCCCGTCACGACTTTCTCTGAGACAAAGGCGCGCCCCTCAGACACAGAGGGTTCCTGACTTCTTCGGCCCTTGGAGGTCTGATGTGGCCGAGATTCCACACTTTTCCATGAAAACCAGGCCAACACCCCAAAAGACGAACCTCCACCGAAAAGAAGAAGGTTTAGACATGTCTCCGGTTCTCCTTCAACCGGCTTTGGCTCCACCCAAGGCCTTCCACCGAACCAAACCGAACCTGAAGGCGAATGGAGGCCCTACCACTCATCGTCGACGCTGTTTGAGCCGTGCAGCCGGGCCGGGCGGTTGGTCTGGAGTGGCCGCTGGAAACCGGCGTCTTCCGTCCGGAGTCCAAAGTCCCTTTTTTCTTCTTTTCGGTTTTTAGGTGGGTGGGGGGCCATCGGTGGTTGTTGGGCCAAAGAAGGAGCAACAATGTGTGCTTGTTTGAATCCACGGGGGATGGATTTCTGCGGCACAAGTCTCGCTTCTCATCGAAGTCAACAGTAACAGGCAGTGTGACCGACGAAAGGCCTACTCTAAGTTCCACCACATGATATAGAGGACTCTTTCTGTTGGCTTCTCCCCATCATGACGGTCCGAGTCCAGAATTTCCAACTCCTGGTTGATCGGAAACATGCCTCGAGTATTTCTGGTGTTTTGGAGTTTCGAACCTCCTTCTGAAGGCTGCGACCTGCAGCCTAACACCCGATTTCCTGACAGCTGCACCTACTCCACTTCAGAACGCGGACAAATGGTGCCATTCAAAGACTTCAATCCTTTGCAATTACCAAACGCTCCATGTAGCGAATAGATTGACCCTTGAAACCACCCCATGTAGGTGAATGATGCATGGAGTGTCTGGGGCTATTTTGCTGTGGGACGACTTCCTTCTCTTGAAATGCGAGGCAACATGCAACACTTTGTGTGCAACACTTTGTGTCGCAATTCTGAACCACGCCCCGAAGCACCACCACCACAAGCCTGTCTCCTGAATTTTGGTATGACCAGTTTGTTATCCCAAGGTTGGTGAAGCTACTTAGAAGTCTTCATGGAATCAAATCTGGGTTTGCATCGTTTTGGAAACTGGGCTGGCCTCAAGCCAACGGATGAAATATGGACCCCTCTTGCCAGCTAGGAGTCCATGTCTTTCTGGCCCCAAAACTCCACAACTAGGGGTCCCTGCCATGTAGCCTTCCTTCCGCAAGAGTTTCATCAAAAGTCGAAAACCTTAGAAGAAGCTCTGACCGTTCCATCTGGCGAACCCTCCAACCCGCTGTCCCACCGGCGGGCACCACCGGGGCAAATCTCAGTGTTTCGATGCTGGGAGCTCGGTTTGTAGAGGGAAGTGGTCATCCAAGGGGAAATTTTCCACTTCTATGATGATTCCAGGGAGTCTAGCAATCCTGGTGCAACAGCCAGGATCCTGAACCAAATTTCTGCACGAAACCTACTGGTGCCTCCTGTGCGGGACATGTTCCTCTACGCATGAAATACCGCAGTTTTATGTCCCGCCATGTGGAGGTTCACCTACCCTGGAAGCTCTTCTGACGGCTATATGGCCGAAGCGACTGAGGGTAAGAATGGAGATCTTTAGCAACTTCTTTCTATGATAGGTTATACTTTGGGGGGGGGGTTGGCTCATGGAGCCCAATATCATTGATCCATGACTACAAGATTTGGAGGTCCAAGATCTATCAAAGAACAACTCCAGGTCGATCTGCGGGAAAAAAGGCACACCCTGGTCACTACCTGGTCATTGGAGTCACCAGGCCGTTTCCAGTGCTCTTCATCAGCTCAAATTCATCCAAGACTGCACGTTGGGGGTCCCCCGATGACCTTCCAACCCAAGTGAACACGGACTTACTTGAAGCCTTGATTCTAGCTCACACATCCAGTAAGTCCGTGCATCACACTAACTACCAGTAAGTCTAGCTAACACTTCCAGTAAGTCTAGCTAACACTTCTAGCTATTTACCAGTACTACCAGTGCCCCACATCCACTTCTACCGTTGATACCTGTTGATGAAGGAATCTCTGTACACCACCACCCAGCTGTCAACCCAACCGCTCAGTTCCACCGACCGTTTCCATTCTCGGTCAAGTGGGGCTCTGCTGTTGCTCATGACGATGATGCCACTAGCGTTCAGTGTCAAAAAACAGAACCAACGCAATCACACAAATACCAGGACCCCCACAGGAAGAAAACCCCCTTGGCAGTGAAGAGGTGTCCATTCACCACCCCAGCTAACTGGGGGTCCTTGTAGTGAGAATCATCATGTGGCCCTCCGCGGCGGCTCCGGCTTCCCCCTGGAAGACCCAGTGGCTACATTGATTCACCTGCTCCTCTGGATCCTCCATCGTCGCGCACGACACGACACGACACGGTCGGCATCAATCGGCATGACGGAGGAGTCACGTGAGGGTCGACGGGACGGGGTGCCAGAGGACGGATCACAGGAGGATTTTTATGTCAAATGAAGCGCCCCTATCTTCATTCATGTGCTCATGTCTCCAATTTTTAAGCTCAGTATGTTACTGTTCATTCATGTATAATAGTTGGTATAGAGTATAAAGTTTGGTACATTTGTTCAGTTATATAGATGCTTTTCACCCTAGATCTTGCCACACCCAGATTTAGGGAGCAAATTAGATGGTTTGCCCCATCAAGATGCTGGCGTACCCAACGGAGCCGTCCAAGGGAATGTGCCGATGAGCAGCCTTTGGGGAGCTGGTGTCCATCCACATTCTATCGCTGAGAGCAACAATTGGCACAAAATGGCGCAAGTCGAAACCGAGTCATTTTGGATAGGTAACTTACCGTATCATAGACATAGCCATAGATTTCACTAATGGACTCATCAGAAGCTCGAAGAAGTGGACATGATCCGTTTAACACCTTTCAGGTGTTTTTGGTTTTCTTCAGGTATGTTTTCACACGTTTCAGGTGTTCTCCTTCCCTTTTTCAGGTGCTTGTAATCCGTTTCTTCACCTGCCTTCCCTCCCACCGCCTCCTGGCCCCCGCCCGCCGACCCCATCTGAGGCACCCGGACTCGTCCTTTCCTTCGATGGTCACCTGGGGCGGTCGCGCCCGGCGGTCCGCGCCCAGCGGTCCGTCTGCGCCGGGCGAAGCGGCCTTCCGGGTGGTCCGTCTCGGTCTCCCTGGTTGAGCTGCACACCCTTTTGACATGGAGGGGGGTCTCTCTCCAAGAGTGGGCGGTGTAGAAGTGGGTAGCACCAACAAAGCAAACAAAAAAGACTTGTTCACCCATGACTGCGAAGTAGCTGCTGTTCGTGAATGACTGGGACAGTCGTTGGATGAAGCACGAGGTGTCTTTACTGGCTGGAATGGAGCCATGCAGTGGGTCTCATCACCAACCTCGCCTTTCGCCTTCCGCGCCAACAGTGGCCAACTCCAGTCGAGGTCTTTTCTCTCCCATGCTTCCATCCAAAAGCCATTCTAACCTCTTCGTTTTGGTCCTTTCTTCGATCAATTCTCCAAAAGCCATCCCCTTCCATCATCCCATCATCCATAAACCCTCCCCTTCCGAGCCATGAATGAAGCCCTCCCCACCCATCATCCCATCACCTTCCCCATCATCCCAGTGGCAACAGCCCACCAGGTAGAGGGTGAAGCCGATGACTTTCGGTACTGCCAGGGTCCGTCGTTCCGGTCTTTCCGGTTGGCGTCTTGCGAGGCTCGTCCAGCGGACATGAGTGCTAGAGAGGACTCCCCCAGCCACTGGAGGTCTCTTGTTTCCCTGATTCCATGGGTCTGGAAACACAAAAAGGAAGGACTTTGCTTGAGGCACCTCCTTTCCATTCGACAGGGCCTTCATGGATTCCAACATATACCCTGATGGTGCACCTTCATTTGCATATCAGCTGCAACTATCAGCGTGCATCATGTTTGTCAAAGAACGGCTCGCTTCTCTCAAAAATGGCAATGAAGAACCCATCCTCAGTCTTTCTGAATTCACAAACCCTACTCCTGACATTGCCTCACACCACCAACCAGCCCACCGAAGCTCTGCCAGTGTTCCAGTCAACCCCCCGGGGCCCCCCAAAAGATGCACTTCGAATCCGGCCAGCGACCCGCGTTTCGACAGCGAACCAAAAATCGGCCAGCGGTGCTTCGAAACGTGGTCTTCAGAAAGGCGCCCATAATGACGGAGCCAAAATGATATCCTGAAGCCGCACGGCCGCGGTTCCGTCCGGGCTCCGTCCGAGACTGTGACGGGTGGCTGGTCAGCACCGGTTGGGTCACGTTGCCGCAAAAGGGATGCTGGCGTGGTTGGAATCCATCCCATGAACCAACATGCTGTCTGGAACTTTCCGTTTGGAACAGGTGCTTAAGCTTGTCACATTGGTCCCATGATCTGTTTGTCAAATGCTGGAAGGCCAATTAAGCACCTCCTGCCTGGCACATACCTGGATCTGGCTACAACAAAGAAGGGACTCACTCTCAAGTATTACCTTGAGTTCTCCTGCATAGGCACCTCAAAGCGAAAGCTGGGTGGACCAAAAAGGCTTTAGCATTCATGGTTGGTCCTTTTTGACCTGGAGCGCGGTCATGAAAGCAACTCCTTCCAACAAAAAATGCAGCGTACATAAGCAAATACCCTCCAAGCTAAGGGGAGCCCGCACGTCTCAGCCAGTTCGGAACGATTCACCCACCGAAAAGCCTCTTGAACCATTCATCTGGGCGACATTCGAATTCGCATGCGAATCGGGAATTCCAACACCAACAAACCACGGCCCTTTTCTGAAAGCCTCCTTTGTTTGGGGGTCCAACGAGTGGACTTTGGGGACGGCCGTGACCAATGCACCTTGCCTTCCTCTTCCCAGTGCTGCAGTCACCATGTTCGGTACCGGAACCTCTATACACACAAAAAGCTATATAACTATACTTGCCAGAGAGCCACGGAAGCCTCTTGAGAATGACAAGATCCACCTACGGAAGGCGCGTCAGTCAACCACGATGTGTACTTCCCACATCTTCCTAGTCAGTTCCTACCTCACCATGTCTCCAAGGCACGCAACATATTGCCGGTTCCTTCAAAGACCAGGCAAGCATGCCTCAGTGCGCAGGACTGTTTCACATAGAGCCAGGAAAAACCATTCCAAGCACGAATCAATGCCGGCCGGGTCTTTCAGTGACTAGTCTTCACTGGACCTATCAACTGCAAACCGACCTAGAAACTGCAGTGGTAGCATGCTACCCAAATTTGTCACCACTGCTGGCGTCGTTTAATTCCATTGGATTTCCTTGTGGACTGGAAACGGAGGGATGTCCTTTGATTTCCTATGCCCCCATCTAAATAGAAGCAAAGGCCTTTTAATCTTCCTGTGTTGCCTTCCCAAACAGAACCACACCAATTCCTGAAGCAGTCCCCCTAGAAACGGTTTGGGAGAGCTCTCTCAGAGCTCTCTTGTCTTTGACTGCCATTCCCATTCCCCCAAAACACGGAGCATCCGAGCGACGGAACATCTACCTTGACATCATCCACATATGGGGTGAAGTACCACCTGCAAGTTTGGGCCGCAAGACACATGCAGAAGGTGCTAGGATGAATGCCGAAACCGCGCTTTTGTTAGCAAAACCAGGCTTCATCTGGACGTGTGAAAAACACATCGGTGGTGCTCCAGAAAACCTGATGAGTGCCCAGCTTGGCGTTCCAATCCAGCAGGATTCATTATGTGCGTGTGCGCCGTGTCTTTGTTGGCGCCTCTGGCTCACGTAGGCCAAGACATACTGCGTGCCGTTGTGGGTGATTTCCACCAACTCAGCCGACGCTTCGAGCGCTCGAACAGCGGTTCGGCGGTGTTGCCCGGTGCTCTGGTGCGTGCCCGTCTGAGCATCGACTTTGGATGAACGCGAGCTCAAGACGCGAGAAAGGGTGGTGTCTCTAGTTGACATGCCAGTTGTATGAAGTGCAAACCTTTAGACCAGTCACATGATGAGTGGCAGGAATTTCATGGATACTCCAGAATGCACCTTGCTTATAGAAGCAAAGAAGTTCTGCATTATATCTTAGAACTGAGGTGCACTTTCCGACCAACGCATGTCACAACTTGGGATGTCCATCTCTCAACGGCGTTCCGCTCCTTTGGACCCGCCCAAAACACCACGAGCTCTGATGCGCTCTAAGGACCGCGACCAGGGGAATCCCAGAATCTGCAGCTCCTTTGTGGGTGAAGTTTCGGTTTTCCCCTCTCCCAACGACAAGCAGCTGTTCAGCCGGAAATGAGAGCAGTCTTGTATATACAGTGGAAATAAAGCGAACAACACCATGAGTTGGAGCCATCTGCTGAACCCTACTGAGAACACCAAATGGCTTGTATACTGTATCATGTATCATCTAAATGCCCCTACCATCCCCTACCTTCTCCTTATTAAACTGGGCCCAGAAGGCTCTTGCCTGCCCGTGGTGAGGGGCCCGGATCGTGCCCATCCCATCAAATGCCATGTGACCCAAAAGGTCAAGAAGACCATGTATGCCAGAATGGCCCACTGCTCCTTGCTGCGCTGGGGACAGGGGGGGGTTCTATGCCCAAGGTCAAGTGAGTGCACCTTAAAGTCCTTGAAAGAATCATGGATGTGGATAGCAGAACTCCTCGGATGACCCCCTTTCCTCTACAAAACCAAGTGTGGCCAGCGAGATCCAGGAGTGCTTCCAGTGGTTCCCAAATCCGTGGAAAAAGACGGTGTTTCATCCAGATCCCGGTTTGGGGGGAATCATATATACAATGCAAGTGACCACCGAACTTTCTAAGCGAGAATTCCCGCTCCAGATGCTCAGAACGTGGGGTGGGCCTTCGGCCATGGACCCATGGATTCCCAAGGTCACCCGCTCTAGCCCATCTTTCTCTTGGCACCTTCATGTCGGTTCAGTCCATCCCTCGCACGAAGAACAAGAAAAAGGTCTGACCACGATCGCCAAACAAGCCAGGCCGACTCCATTGAGGCTCAAGTTCCGATGCACCTCAGCCGCTCACCAAGGCGGAGGGCGGAGGACAAGGCGGAGGGCGGAGGAACTGCCCCACCTCTTCCATCCTTCAGACGTTTTTTTGTCTGACGTTTTTCTACCTGGACCCTCCAAGAGGTGTTTCCTGGTGACAACAAATGCCCAGCAACCACCTGTTAGGGTCTTCAGACAGCCTGTTTTATCGAACGTGCCTGCTGGCGGTTTCTCCCGGTTCTCGCGGCGACGGAACATGCCAACCATAAAGTGGCTGATCAATGATACCACCGCTGCATACGGTCGCTTCTCTCACCAGGCTCAAGCCGCGACTGTTTTTTCAAGCCGCTTGAAAACGCCACGCCACAGATTCCTCGGTTCCTCTCGAGCAGCTCAGCTCTCGCAGCCACTCAGTGGCTGCGGTGTGTCGCTCGACCATCGCCCGTTGAGGTGATGAACGACACGTGTCCCGCGCCGCCGACCATCGACAGAGTGAAGCGACGCGGAGTCGAAAATGGCGACGTCGCAGGTGTGCCACTCAACTGACTGCGACCGTTGAAGGAATGAGGGAAGTTTGGTCCTCAACATCCATTCCTTTGGATCCAAAAATTCCCCAAACGAGTCGCAGTCAATCAGTCAAACAAGATTAGACTATATGTGCACATGTTTGAGGAGGATCATCCAGGATCTCTACAAAGTTGGATCCCTGAAGAAGTGCGCGCTTGCTGCAGCGCAGGAGCAACTGCGCTCACTGGGACATTCATCACACACTGGCCATGAAGACTTGAACCTTTTTGAGCCTCCTGCTCTACAGAGCCAACACCCGCGTTGCCCTTTCCGGGGTGAACCTGCTGAAACACCTTCAGACCAAACTGAACCGGGCAACATCTTCATGGCCTGCCAACGCTACCGGACGACACTTGCCACCAGCTCCAGCAGGGTGCCGCCTGGATCCGCTTCTTCGCGCGCACCGCGAAGGGCGCAGTGGAGGGCCGCAGCAAAGGCGTCGGTGAAGGTGGCTAAGGAGGTGAGGTTCACCGAGCTGGCCTGGGGGGCGAATGAGCTGGAGCGACCTGGGAGTGATCTGGATTCAGAAATCCATAGAAATCCAAGAGCAGGTAGATCTAGAAATGAACGGATCGAATCTTTGGACTGAATCGGTCAACATTTGGTGCAAACGGTGATTTTCGCTAAGAGGTCTGGTCAAGATCTGCTTGATAAACACATGAAAATGGCTCGGCTTCTTGAGTTACCAACCCAGTCCTTCAGCACTCTTTTTAATGCTACCAGCCTCCTCACAACATGTTATATATATAATTCTTGATCGTATATTGCACCAACGTGCCGGCATGATATAATACACAGTATAATACACAACTTGGTGGATTTTGCTTGTCAGCGACATTGTGCACACACATCATCTTTCATGTCTTGGCAGCTTTCTTGTGAGGTCCTTGTTGTCCTCAAGCGATCTTCCTCTCCAGTTTGTCCCCGAGCGAGCTGCTTTGGATCTTCGAATTGGTCCTCTTTGACCCAGAAAGTCTGGTGCTCACCAAGTCACATCCGCATCGCTCGGAAGATGAAAACGCCCACGAAGCCCTCCGCTCACCAGGTTCAACGCCGGCATCCCCGCGTGCAGCGCAGGAAGGATGGCGCCCTGGGCCGTCCAACGGCTCAAAGTACCTGTATAGGAGGCGGTGATGGCCGGAGACACCCCTGGCGTAGCAGCTCCTTTTGCTACGCTATATGGGCACGGAGCAATTCAACACAATGGAAGATCCCCTGGCCCAATAGGTGTTGCTCCATGTCCCTGCTTCCAGGGGTCGAACTGGGAGGTCTGTTGTTTCTTTACAGTAATGCACACCTTCGTTGCGTCTAGTCTGGCAGTTGGACGCCAAGTTAGGTGTGGTAACAGTGTCTGCTCGGGAGGATGCGAGGTGCGGGTGCCGGCTCGGGAGGATGCGAGGTGCGGGTGCCGGCTCCGGCAGTGCTAGCCCGGCTCGGTGGGATGCTTCAGGGCTTCAGGGATCTCCGACATAAGCGAAGAAACTGGGACACGCCCTCTCCGCACACATGGAAGTGGAACAACGAATGCCGGATACCTCAACACAAATGGTGACACTTGCACTTGGTCGACGTGCCTCCCTCACCTCCCTGTTTGTTGGAGGGGGGCCCTGCAAGTCCAACAGAAACTTCGCACTTTCTTTGCCTGGCTCTGCTTGAACCAGGTCATTCAGCCGCTGGTCCTTGCTTAGTTCGCGAAGGACCTGCCCAAGCGGTGCCAAAAAGCATATGGATGATATGATGCCTCTACTCTATACCGTCTGTTCATGGTTGAAATGAGGGTTGCTCACCCAAAGCATTCGATCATCTGTGGATCTTCTTGCATCTCATCTGACCCAGCCAGTTGTCATGGTCAATCACCTGCAGCCCTTTTGGCAGCCCGTTTTTGTTCGAGTGTTGTGGCTACCTGGTGCTTCATACATTAAGTGTCTCAATTATTGTTACAGCACCCTCCAATAGGCTGTTAGTTGAGGGTTGTTGGACCCTAACAGGTCTCAATTGGTGACCTGTCGGAGGGTCCTAGTATATGTTTGCCAATTTTTGCTATGTTGCATCATGGGCATGCAAGTCGTTCGCACTGGCTGCCAGGTAAAGGATGCGGAAAACATGGGGACGTTATAAGGGCAAGTCCACTCGGCAGAAGCTTGCTTCGTCGATAAATCTTAGCTCCCTTAGTGGAAGAAGAAGAAGAAGAAAGAGAAGAAAAAGAAGAAGAAGGAGAAGAAGAAGAAACCTTATGCCCACAAAATGTACACCAGCTGCGCGGTTTGAGAATAGGGATGCCGTCTGCCTAAAGCAAACACGTGCAGCAAGAAACAACTTTTAAACCACGGCAACTTCTCCCAAGGAGAGCAGTCGAAGTGAATTCATTGTGCCCAAATTCGCTCGTTTGGTTCCGTCTCTCCCTCTTCGCACCCCAAGAGGATCCCAGACCAAGAAGTACACCCGTTCAAAACAACCGTTCAAACCCAAAAAAAGGATCGCAAAAGGATCGCTCAACACCCCCGAAAGGCAGGCGTCCAACAGGCACTCTGCACGTCCATCCACCTTCGACTCCCAAAAACGTCCCACCACCTCGGCCCCCGGCGCCTCGGTGACGAGCTGCGCGCCAGCTGCGCGCTTCGGTCGTGTGGAGCTCACGCGGATCGACGTGGTGCCGCTCCCGGCGCCGGCGAAGTTGAGGCCGTCGAAGTGGGCGTAGTTGGCGAGGCCTCCGGGGCGGGGGCCAACCTGGAAGGAAGCAGACTGTAAAGCGGTCTAGAAGAAAACGGTGGCACCTATAGGACCTAGTGACACCGGGTTAAAGACCTGTCTTGGAGCACTGATCCTTCAACATTTGGTCTTCTCCTGTTAGAAAACGAGGTCCCAGGTGATTCCAGGAAAAGCTTGGCCTAGTCTGGCAGTTGCCTCCCAAATGTGTTCACCCTGCACAGCACAATTCGGCCAAGTGCCTGCACCGATGCTGATGAAGGGTATCTCACTCAAAGGGATATGCAGATCTGCTGCGAGCTCTTGCAAGTACGGAATCACCATCCTTGAGCTCTTGCACCACGAGATCAACTAGAAAAAGGATTGCAAGGCCAACACAAAATGCTAGTCCTTGTCTAAAAATCTGTCAAAGGGAAAATGGATGAACATGGCTCGTGAAAAGCGTCAAACACCCAAGGCCAAGATGAGTGATTTCCTTTGATCCCTGTTCCACTGAAGGGTAGAAATCCTCGCACCAGCTGATATGGGAGAAGTTCCATTGCTCACCGTGGGAGCTTTCGTCAACAAACGCCGGTCAGGAGACGACTGTCCCGCCCCAAGTGCATGACTGCTGTAGCTTTGCATGATGGTGCGTAATATATATACTTGATCCACCTGGCCATTTCCCCACTTCCATCAACAGTTAGTGCTTATACCCGCTCAACCACCCCATGCCAACCCTCTTCCTCTCACCGGTACCCCTGCTAGGCTGGCACCGAGCATCCTTTCGATGCCGGAGTCCGACTGCTCGTGCCCAGAGGTGAAGCCAAAGATGGGCGTCCAGCAAGGGCACCTGGAGGACCTCCAAAGAGGGGCTGTGGAAGATCTAGAGCGTCAACCCGGTGGAGGGGATGGACCATCTGACCATCCGACCGGTCTATGAGGGGCTTGGTGGGGATATTCGGGGCTTCTTTGTGGGGGGGAGGGGGTGTTCTAAGACCGATTAGACCTCAACCGGTGGTAACAGCTATAAGGTGGCCCACTCTATAGCAAGTATAAGGTGCCCCAACAAAATCTCCAGTGGGGGGGGGTTGATTCTTTGTTGGCGCATCTTGATGAGCCCAAGCATGCATCATCCCTTTGAGTGCTGAAATGACATAATCAATGATGTGGAAGAGGAAGTTCTTCAAGTAGTTGATGATGGAATCAACATCGATCCAACCTGGGTGCGACCATCTACCGAGGAGGAGGCTGCCCCACTGAAGCTCAACAAGAAACACCTGAAGAAGGACTATTATTGGGGTCCCTATCAATTTTTGGTGGCATAATCCACGTATAATCCCCGATATTTTCCACCTAACTTTTAGCCAGATTTTTCCGATGACCCTTGCTCTTCTAAAAATCCCTGAGTCCCAAGACCGGCTGAGTCAGGCTCCCCCATCCCTTTAAAAGGCCCTCCGCTTGGTGCCGGAGATGGGCGATGAGACGGGACTGACTGGCAGACAACCTGGGAGATGCGTCACCAAGGCACGCATGGAACAACAGAGGTTAAGATGCATTTTTTGAAGAGACGCCTCTCTAGACTCTGCCCATGGTCCATCTGTTGGTTTCTGGTCTTTCTCCCTGCCCACAATTCATAGAGCCGGAGAGAGCCGGACCGACCATGACAGGACAAGGACAACTTGGCCAGCTTAAACTGGCTCCAGAAGCTTCTCAAGTGAGGCTTTCACCCAATTCTTCACGGTGTTGATGGGTGTTGCTGTCTCGCAACCTGCAAGTCATCCTGGAATGTACAATCTTGACCAATCTTAGAATCCAAATAGGATTATCAAGTGCATCTGATAAGGGTAAGGTTTATGACATCTGGAATCTGGATCAGGTTCATGAATCCAAATTCTACAGCACATTCATCTGACGAAGTTGATCCAGTCAGGCGCCTCTCACGTGGCGCGATCCTCTCGTTCCAGTGCTGTGCCAGCTGCAGCAAGAGGGCGATGCCGGCGCCGCGCTCGCCGGCGGCGCGGAAGAAGCCGTTGATTGGGGTGCCCAGGTAGATGGGCCTGGAGGGGTCCCGGGTAGAGGATGGTGGATCCGCATTATATATATATAATAGATATATATATATATATGTATGTATGTATATATATATATTTGGGGGGAGAATCAAGCTCTCTAATAATATGGCATACATGGAGCGTCTGGGTAATACGTTTGAAGAGGTTTTTGACGGTGCACTGTTTGAAAGGTGCTTCGCCTTCGACCAGAATCCTGAAAAATGAGGTGAATCGAGAGAGATGCACGTGGTGCGACACAGGGTGACACCATGTGACACCTCAGATTCATTCCCCATGAGTTGAGCAATCTGACTTCTCATCAATCAAGGCCAGGGGGTTCGGTTTCGCCCAGTGATGTGCAAAGAAAGTGCGGATGGGAATGAACTTTAATTTCTCACAACCCATGCAGGGAAGAACGCAGTAGCGGAAAACATCTGAAAGTAAACAACACAATCATCATCAATCATCTCTATCATTAACTGCCTTCCATCTCTTCACCCATTTATGTCACCCGCTTCCCAGCTCTTCCACTCCAGCCCACCAGCCAACTCCAGCTCCGCTGCCACCAGGCGGCTGCGACGGGCCCGGTCCGCAGCCTTTCGGCGGCGCGGCGATGGCCAGGACGTTCCGCGTCGGAGCGGGCGCCGCCCAGCGGCCCCGCAGGCGCAGGGAGACGTTGCCACCCGTGAGGAGCAGGGAGGACAAGTAGCTCACCTGATGGAGCCAAGATCCCTGGTAAGGCCCAAACTGGCAAAGATCTAAGTAAAGAGCGTTTCTTTTTTGATGAAAAACTGAATCCTGGTCCGTTTCAATGAACTCAAGATCCAGTTTCAATATGTTTCAATTTGGAAAGGATCTGGTTAGGATTGGATTGGATTCATGATTGAAGTTCATGAACCTTAAGATGAACTCCTTATCCTCTCCGACGCATCCTCCGGACTCTCGCTCCCCACCCACCCGAAGGAAGGGCCGTCTCGGTCCGACCCAGTCACTGTGACCACCGGAACGAGCGCAGGAGTTGCAGTCCTCTGATTCCAATCGAATGGACGAGGCTCAGTGACTCTTTCCTCAGTTCGATGTGGGCGTGTGGCCAGGGCGTGTGCCATGGTGTGCATGTGTTTAATCGGGACGACATCCCGGCCCGATGGGTTTTGGGATGGTTTGGATCTGTTTTCGTTCTTCCACGGGGGTTCAACTGGGAGGTCTCCCTGTGGCAAATGAAGTGACTCGAGTGAAGGAACGATCTTCCGAGACCCTGACTGCAAAAATGTAAGAACTCAAGGTTCTGAGACCTTTGCCAAGCCAACCAAAAAATGACTTGCCCAACACATACCCTTATAAACGGAACATCCAGCAACAGCAATGTCAGCGGACTTGCTGAAAAGGCCTCAACAAAGCACCGAGACTGCCAGTAAAGGGCAAAATGAGAACTTCCTCTGCAAAAGGTGCTGTGCACCAGTTTCTAGCTGCCAAAACTCCTATGACAGGTGTTTATCACGGGTCTGGCAGGACACTTATCAAATCCAAAGAATAGACTTGTTTATACATAATACTATAGTGTTCCGTTTCAATATTCTGAACGTTCAACGCATGTTTGATACATGACCTTCTCCGGTCTTTCGTCTCAGTCGATCTGCTCCCCTGCCCGGGGCCTCCCGGGGCCTGCCCGGCCTCTCCCATCATCCCGACCTGCGCCCAGGCGGCCGATTGTCCCGCCGGCGCGTTGACCACGATGACTGCGGCGTAGGGCAGCGTCCCATCCGGCCGCAAGTAGGGCCGGTAGACGTCCGCGGCGGAGAAGGTGTAAACGTCGGGGTCGTGCAGCAGCAGGATTTGGCTCAAAGGCACCTCCTGAGGAAAGTCGTTTGCTTCGCGAGTCGCGCGTGTAGAGACTCGACATTTGTTTCGGCCCAAGTTCCAGTTGTTTCGAGGCCAAACCTGAGAAAACAAGGCACCTGCCAGTAGCCACCACTTGCTCTACCACCTTTCAGATCCTCGACCGTTTAATCATATAAAGACCCAAGAGCTGCAAGCCAGTGACAGCTGGGTTGAGGAACATTCACTCAACCGAGGTGCTCTTTCTATAACAGGTCAAGCCCAACAGGCAACAGGTAGGACCTATAGGGTGTGGGCTTCTCAAGTTCTGTGTGCATTTGTTCATCGATAAACACCACCAGATCACCAACTGTGCCAGCAATATATACAGTATATAATAATGCAGTATATATATATATATACAGTATGTACACATACGGTGCGGTATATGTTTGTTGCTTTCTATTCCCCCAAGAAGGCCAGACGACATCATCCCCATGTCACCAGTCTCCTGCAATGCCACCGCTGCTCGTGGTGGCTGGTGCACCACATAGCATGGGATCGCTTGTCCAGAAGGCGCCACCAAGTCGCAGCCATAACCGGAGGAAGGCGACCTCGTTCGCGACGCCCAAGTAGTTTGCCGTTTGCTTGGATCTATGAAGCTACTAGATCCAAAAGGAGGGGCAGAATGGAACCCTCGAGGTTGAGCCCAGGTTGATCCAAGTGATCCTGGCGTGGCGAAGCAGAAGACTTGGTGTTGAGAGGCTGCCATGCACAACATTGGGAACTTCAGCTCTTGCAAAGCTGCATATGCAGCACATATCGATCAGTTCACCCAGGCTTTGTCTACATCACAATGGTCACAATGCACCGGGGCTATGGTGACGGATGGGACAAGTGAACCCCCCCCAATGGATCATGTATTGGAAAACAGTCAATTGCCCTTTTGAAGAACCCGCTCTTCAACCAAAACACTCAAACAACAAAACACCCTGATAAAACAAATTCGCACACCCAAAACGGAAACATAAAGAAAAAAGAATCGCGACGGCAGCCCCTAGCCGAAACGAGGATCCCATCATCCTCCGGAATCCACAAAGGCGGCCCTGGCAAGGTGTACTCCTGAAACTTCACCTCCAACCCCGACGCAGCCGCGAGTTCTTGCCGGAGCCATTCGCTGGTGGCGGTGTCGGCGGCGGTGCCGCTCAGGTGTGTGGAAGAGATCTGGGCGTAGTCACCTCAAATTGTCAAAGGCACATCCTGCAGTGATCAGCAGATAGGGATCCAGTCGTGCCTTCTCAGATCTTCTCAGGTGATTGAAGGCAGGTCCCCGGAGGGTCCAAGTACCTTCTGAGAAGGAAAACACACATTCAGAAACCGTGTGCCAAAAAACATTGGAGCGCCCCATCCAAATCCCGGTCTGGCCACTTTCGATCTGTCCCACCGTCCCACCTCTTCAATTTCCCCTTCTGCCAGCCACAGGCAGTTGCCCCAGCGACAGGATCAAGACAGTTGCTCAACTCCCTGGAATGATCATGGAAATGGGATGGCCACCCTATACGGATGAGAAATGAACTCTGAATACCAAAGCCATTAGTGCCACCATGTGCCACCTCAACATGACACCATGGAGCCCAGTGAACCATCCATTTTTATCAATTTTTTCACTTCTCCTTCTTCAGCACTCCAGTCGAGCACCCCGTCGAGCCCAGTGGCTGATCAGGCGCTCTAAGGACTCTTCCGTGACCCACCGGTCACGATCGACCCAGCGACCCCTTCGGTGACGCAGCAGCAGCAGGGCCACGCCCAGGACGACGGCCCACGTCCAAGCGCACCGCAGCATGGGGCGCTGTCGTCGCGCCACCGGGGGGGCAGCATGTGGCTGCCAGCATGTGGCTTGAGTGGTTGCCAGCTGAAAGAGATGAAAAAGGATTGAAGTATATATCGTTTGAATCAACAACAAGAAGAAGCAACCAACAGCCAACGAACGCAAGCAACAATCAAAGGTCAACCTACAAATCCCAAATTAGGTAATTACCCAACCAACGATCAACCAACTCACCCTTTGTTCATGCCTGTGTAGGGTTAAGGCGGTTAAGGCCCTGGAAGGTGCTGGTGTCAGCACTTCCTCTGCAACGATAGATTCCGACAAATTGATTCATTCATAGTCCTACCTCTTCTTAGAGGCCTTTAGTCATCACCCTCCTGCAACTCAACTGAAAAAAACACCAACGAGACTCATCTTCCCCTCAACACCAAAATAACAACTCAAATCATACACGAAAACTTGGACCCTGAGAATGGGACCTGGGAACACTGTTTTTCCTCTACCAACCAGTGGTTTTCAGGTTTCCATGGTGCGTTTTCCACGGATGGGTCTTGAGGATGCAAGGCATCGTGACCACCATCCCAGGCAAACTGCAGTGGGTGCCCGGGCTTCACTGTCGCTCATCAAGAGAACCATTCTCCCAGTGGAGGCCTCAGCCGTCGTTCGCTGGCACCGGGCGTGGTTTGAACCCCGAGCAAGAAGTTTCTCTACATCCTGCGTTCGAGTATATCATATTTTATTATTGTTCCTGTTTTCTTGTGCGCTTTCTCCGAGTGATTCTTTGCATCAGGGGCTTCACATGCTACCAAAAGGTCTGACCAGTGTAGCTTGGCTGGACAATTGCTTTACACACCCCAGCAGTTTCTCCACAGTCTCCTAGCCAGCACCGGGGCGGCTCTCTGAGCTCGGGCTCCTCCGCGCAACTTCCCTTCCGCCAAGCCACATAGACCAGCATCAGTCCAACCATGGGGCCCACCGTCAAGGTCTGCCAGCGCGCCGGCGACAGATGACGATCGATCCGGACAGGGTTAGCGGGGTGTCCTGGCGTTGATCTGGTTGAGCTGGGAGGCATTGAAGAAGGTTTCCAGTCTCTTCGTGGGAAAGCCCAACAGGAAAACCATGGAAGAACCCTCAAAAAGCAGCTTGGCACCCTCAGTGCATGCATATCATCCTGAAACATTGGCAAAAGGAACTTGCCAACCGCCCTACTTGCTTTTAAACATCACATGGGTAAAGAGGTCCGGCAGGTGCCCAACACTGAAAGCACCTCCCAAGCACCCAAGCTCCACCCCAAACAGCCGCCCCCCGAAGAAAAAGCCGCCGCCGCACACCGTCGTCTGCTTGTCCGACCGCTTTCTTCCGAAGACATCGGCGCGATCGTCGCCGGCCTTCAACACTAAACTCACCAAAGGCTCCAAGAGGATGCTCGGGATCTGGCGGGGCGCGCACAGGTGCGGGCGGCGGGACGACGGTTCACTCGCTGGGTCCGCTCCAAGTCCGAGAAGTGTCTGGATCGGTCCTTCCGTTCTCGGTGCAACACATACAGACCCGAACTGAAGTCCAATTGAAGTCCAGTTCGATGATTTTTGGATGGACTGAAGTATAACAGAAAGACCATTCTTTTTACAGTCTTTGACTTCCAGGGTATCTTTAGGCATGTCGTAGTAACTATAATATGTAATTATGATATGTATAGCATGATGTAGAATGGTGTGTTGAGGCTATCTTGAGGATTGGTACCTTATCATATACCTTATATTACCTTATCATTTGCTCTGACATGCTCTGATCATGGGCACTTGCTTTTGAAAGATGTCGGCTTGTCATTAGCCCCAGCGCCGCAAGTGGCCAGCTGTTTCCCGATCGCAGTTGGGATGAGACATGCCGTGAGTCAGACATCGAAGCACCGAAACGTCTAAGACGTTGGGACATATCTGGAGGTTTGTCCCCATAGGACCTTCCATATTCCTCATCCTCATCCTCATCCATCTTGGGGACCTGCCCCAACGCCGCTCCGCGACCGAGGCCCACCGGAACCACCAAACCACCACCGGCCTCGAACATGCAGTCGGTGGTCGCCAAGATGCAGCCTTCCGCCGTTTGGATCCTGACACCGCGCGACGGCGGAAACACACGAAGACGCCGAGGACGCGGAGCGTGGAACACCGCGCGAAAACGAAGACGAAGGCAGGGAGACAAGACCGGAAGATCCAGAAGGGAGACAAGGCGTGGAGACAACCGCTCGACCCCCATCCCTCAAAGCCTAGGATTTGAGGGTCCGGGTTCCGTCCCTTTGAGCCAAGGGACCGACCTGAGACGCACCGAAGAACCGACCGAGCTTGGCGGGACTGGTCTCAACCGTCGTGACGCCTGGAGACACGGCAGGCAGGACTGTTTGAGAAGATGGGTGGAAGTTCGGACCAATTCCACGGAAGAGCATGGTGGGGGTGCCCTGGCCCTTCTTCCCAGGCTGAATGTCTCGCAAGCAGACTCACCCTGTAGGGTGCAAGACAGCCAGCTGCATTGGCTGGATCAAACGCTGGTGGATCATTTTTGGACACCGAAGGACCTCTCAAACGCAAGGAGCTCAGTGACCTCTCAAAACACCCACCGAAGGCACCCGCGAGAGATGTGCGCCAAAGTGCAGCACAAGACCTGAGCGAGGGGAGGCATTGGTGCGGAATGCCATGTTCTGGAGCTGGATTACAGGCACCAATCGAAGATGCTTGGCTGTGAAGGATGGAAGAGAGAAACGATCCTGGACCCTTGAAGCATCTTGACGCATCTTCAACTTGAACGACTCATCACAAACACATCCAATTAATAGTTCATCAACAAAGTAGGTGCGGTACCGTACTCTGGAAGGAACATCTATTCAATGTTGACACCTCTGGGTGCCCAGACCAGGGCCACGCACATGCCAGCGATGCCACTCAAGAAGCTGGTTTGAACCTCCGGTCACATGCGAATCTCGTCACGGCACGGAAAGGACGTGATTCAGCGCTGGTTGACACGACCAGTGGAAGAATCCATGGAAGAGGAACACCCAGCGGTTTGGTTTTGGTCATCGGGACCATGCCGTCCCACGTAACCATGATGGTTCCAGGGAGTGCAAACCTCTTCCACCCCGTTCGTTTGGAGTAGAAACTGCAACCAAATCTCCCGCCCCCCCCAAAAAAAAATGAAAAAGAGAGTCGCAAAAGGTTATTATCCACTGAGTGACATAGTGACTTGGGTATGATCTGGACAGGACCGCCAACTGTTGGATTCTCAACCGCCACACCTTCAAATAAGTCCAATATCAAACCTTCCCTCAACTGACCAGCTTGGCTGTTTCCCGCCCTCTGCCGTCGGAGTTTCGGCCGATCACTTCCTGGCGCCTCGGTGTTTCCGCCGATCACTTCTGACAAGCCTCCTGGCCACCGGCTGAGCCGTTCGGCTTTTGAGGCCCATCCGGCAGCAGTGAGAGCATGGAGATTGCTCAAACGAGCGCAGCATGAGCCAACATCTTTGTTCTGCTTCAATCGCTGAAGCAGGACACCTCCTCTTCCAGTAATATCATGTAATATCAATAAAAGCACGTCCATTCTATGAGAGGATGTTCTTCGGCATTCTAGGCCACTCAACCGACCCATGCTGCAACCACGCCATCTACTCCATTCACAAAAGCGTGAGACGGCCATGTCTCAGCTATGTGGCGACCGTTTGTCCCGCCTGATGTGAAGACCTTGAAGAGATGGAATAGCCCGAAGCAGGCCGGGACGATCATCATGAGCAGCAATGAGACCTGATCGAGGCGAGGCGTTGGCTCGGCGTAGCACTTAAAAGGGCATTGGCTTGGCGCACCTGGTTCTTATAGAGCTATACAATAAGGGTGTTTACCACAAAAGACTTGTTGGAGCAAGCGCTTCAAAGAGGGCTGTTCAAGAGTCGAGGTCGAATAGGAACTCGAATAGGAATGTGCACCCTCCCTCCAACATGTGCCCGTGAAACCTGAAGGTGCATTATAATTACATCCCTGCAAGTTGTATTTGGAACATCGTTCTTCCGGTCATGCCATCCACTTCGATGCTTGAGAGGTCCACCTTTCGGCTCAGGCCTGAAAGGTTTCGGCCCATGTGCCGGGGTGCCCGGACGTGTATCAGAAAGCCGGACAAGTATCGCAAGAAGAGCATGTAGAAGAAACTCGTGGCGAGCGCCTGGACGCGTTCAGAGCTTTCCGCGGTGCAGAAACCCAGTTGAACTGGCTGTGGTGAGGAACTGTCCTTTTTTGTAACATCCTGGGTCGGACACCGCCAAGCCTTCTTCTTTGAAAAGCCGGGCGTCACACGCGGCGATGGTCTGTGTGCGCGCGCTACAGTCTAGACGCCCCACAGTGCCCCGGAAGGTGCCATCTGTTCCAGCTCCGGCTCACGGCTTCCGGTGTCCCGGAGATGTCTTCGAACTCCAGGCGCTTTTGCCACCACTTCCCATGCAAAGCAATGGACCAATGGACAGGTTAGTAACAGGTTTTGTGCCACCGACTGGAATCCCTGGAGCTATGAGTAGGGTTGGTGAAGTGAAGTCTCTGCCACTAGTCGACTGGCAGTGGGCTCTGGTAAAGCACTGAAACAAGCACTGAAACAACAAAAATCAACACCTCGAGCCTTCCACCACCCCAAACTGCAAGACTCCAAACTGCGGAGGGAGGTTCCACCGCCCCAAAGCCCGACTGCGAAGTCCATGGATGTCCCGTGCCATCCGTGGCTGCTCGGCTCCCCCACCACTCCAAAGGTGCTGAGGACGATCAGTTTGGCTCTCGCCAGGCTGTGTAACTGAGAGACCCGAAGGAGTCGGAAACAAGCGTACGAGGCCGAGGCGGCTGGCTGCGGTTCTACGGTTCTACTGGACGGTGGAGGTGTGAAGGTGGCTGGGATGTAGCACAGGACACGTCGTCAGGACTTAGCAAGGCCAATTCTTCGGTGAAAGGGTTGAGCTTGGAGAGGAAACAAGGAAACCAAAGCTTGAAGACTGAA